AAATGTAAGGGTTTGAATCTCCAAATTAGAGGTGGACAAATGATTCATGAATCCATGAATCCGATCGAATTGGTACACCCACAGATCGGTACCGGATTCAAAAAAATTGAATCCGCAGCTCACAGATCAGATTACGAATTGGGCTGTTAAAATTCGATTTGATCCGATCCGTGAGTCCATTCTGATCCGATCCGCTATATATATATATATATATATATATATATATATATATTCAATGAATGTATTAGTTAATTTAATTAGTTAATAATCATTTAATGGACTTTAAAAATTATATTAATTAATGATCATTTAAATATATGAATTAATGTTGATAAATTGAAATGGTCAAAAAAAAATTTAAGAAAAAAAAAAAAAAACCAATCTTTATTTCACGAATCTGATCCGATTCATTACCATCATTTTAGTAGTCCATCTTTTCATGTAAAGATGTCCATATTAATTGTCCCATTTAAAAAGTCCAAGCAAAATAATGCTACATTTCCATAATTATCTTTAAATTTTTAAAAATCTCAAAACCTAATATATATATATATATATATATATATATATAATTTTAAAAGGATAATTTTAAAAGAAGACTAATTTAGGACAGAGGAAATATAATTGCTAAGAACTCAACGGACCTTTCCTTGACGCTTTCTGTCTACAACTCAATTTATACAATTATTATTAGGGCGTCTTTTCAGATAAAACTATACAACTCTACAAAATATTGAAAATGAAATTCACGTGAGGTTATTTACAACATACTCCACCTGGGTGAAAATTTTACCATACCTTTTGCAATGCACCTAGTTTATAGGTTAATCAAAAGTCATTAAAATATTATAATTCCTTATCAACCTTATCCTTTTACCTAGAAAATCCTCAAAAGCCTCCAATCTCCGTGAAACATTAAAATAGTTTACTTTTTCAGCCACCGCAAACTCACATTTTGTTCTCCAAAATGAAAATTACGTTTTTCTAACTTTATCACTAATTATGATGTATATAATGTATTAAGTCGTTTTCATAGTCATTTGTGTAAGTGTATTTAATATGATACGTAGTACGGTTTTCATAGTCATTTGTGCAAGTGTATTTAATATGATATAAAATAAAAGGGTATTATTGGATTATTGTCTATTCATTTCTTAGACGAAAAGAAAAAAAAAATAGACAGGCTTGGAATCTAGTTTGAGGTAGAATTTATCACTTAAAATAGTAGTGATAATACAAAGTTCCAATTTTTCTTTTTCTTTTTTTAATTTTTTTTTCCTCCAAAAATTAATGATCAAAATGGTGAATCAACTAAAACATGTATATTTTATAATATATATATATATATATATATTTCTTGCTCACCAATGAACAAAACATTCTTTCCCACCATTCATAACATCTCCATTTATAATAAAGGTAGGATGTTAAAATGGTAATTAGCAAAACAAAAAATATATAACAGTCATATCAGATATCATTCATACAATGTATGGTGTGAATGAATTTTTTGTTCAATTATACAATTTAAAGTGAGAAGAAAAATTGTAAGACACAGATAAAAATTTCTAAATATCTTATGGAGTATTATTCAAAACATTAGTAAAAAATTTATCATATTTTATTTTTATATTTTATACATATTTGTCTAGTTTTCTTTCTAAACTATGCTAATCACAGTCATGATTGTCACAATAGCCAACATTTTGTTTTTCTTTTCTCACCAACACTTGTAGTAGTAATAAAGCACATGCCAAACAAAGTACATGTGAAAGTTTCTTCATTTCTCTGTTTTTAATTAGTTGTACTATTAGCCAAAAAATAATAATAATAATAGTAATTAGTTGTCCCACGTGGTTAAATTTGTTTGAGAGCTAAATAATATATATGGCTCTTCATAAATGGACTGAAATTCTAAGACATGTTTGGTTTTTTGGTCAATAAAGTCCACGATTGCAACTAACTCTTCATCCTTTATCATGTGGGGGCTCATCATTGTACAGCGACGGGGCCTATAGTTTTACTCGGTCGGTTTTGGATAAAAAGAATAGAAAAAATTCAAAAATATATATAAATAAAATTTTTTGCAAAAGAAATTTTTTTAAATATAAATAATTTTTTTTTTTGTGTACATAAATCTATTATCTAGTGATAATATCTTATTTTTTGAAAATAAAACTGTTGAAAGCTCAAGTTCTATGAAAATAAATATTCGTTTATCAAGTGTTTTTTGTTTTGTTCTTTTTGTATTGATATAAAAATCGGAACATATTTTGATAACTTTTGTTACTATTCGAATAATACTGCTATAAAATAAAAAATAAAAAGCTTCCATGAAAAAAATTTCTTAATATTTTCACACTATAGCAAAACAGTATAGTCTGAGCAATTTTTATTTTTATTTTATTATAATTCATAATTAAACCTTGTAATACTTTTTGATTAAATATATTTTTACTTTTAAAAATCTTGTAACAAATTTTACATTATAAAACACACTTCCAATCAACTATTAATTCGGAATATATTTCATAGCAGAAACATTATTTTTATTTTAAATAAAAATAGAAATAGAAGCAATTACCAAGCAAATCAAGAATGAGTTGGTTTAGTTTTAGATTTTGGACTAGCATGTTTTTGGTATTTTCAATAGATAATAATAAATAAATAAAGAAGTAAACTATTATGATGTTTTGGAGGTTTGGTCAATAGTTGAAATATTTGTGAGATTTGACATTCGAAATGGAAACATTCAACAAAAAGGGTATTTTTTTTTTTTTAATACATATTTATAAAACTAAACGTGGAGTGCGACCCTCCATTTTTATTTTCAATAATCAAATTATCATTACCCAAAAATATAAGTCAATAGAGCTAGGAAAATTATGGGTAGATGAGTTTTTTTTTTTCTTTTTTCTTTTATTTATTTATTATTATTATTTTTTTAGCTTTATGACCTTGTTTCATGAGATAGTATATTTTTTCCAATATGGTAAAAACTGGAAGAATCATTTTTGAAAGGGTTTGTTTGGTTGCTTGTTTGTCATGTTTTTCATCTCAATCTCTTCCGAATGAAGCGAATTTCTAAGCATAACAATCGAAATTTTGATTTACACTACAGAGAATTGTGTTATTAAAATTTTGGTCTCACTTGAATTTCTATTAATTAAAGAAGACGTTTAATTCATTAAAAAAAAAAATTTGAATCCACAATCCATATTAGAAGAACCACATAGATTCTTTTGGGCAACTACTATTGTGAAATTTCGAATATAAAAAGCCTATTGTAATTAGATTTTGTTTTAACAACATATCGTTACGAGGTGTCACAAAATCGAGACAGCTTTTTAATATGGACTGTGTTAAATTTATTGAAATAATTGTTTTTTTTTCCTACTCAACAATTGAATTTTTGCTAAATTTAGTTTAGAAGAGACTTAAAAACATAAACCGTGATATAAATTAATGGAATTCAAATACTTTACTCAATAATTGATTCTTAACTTTGAGCTTGTCTAGGATTGTTTTTCTACTATTAAAATCGATTTGAATAATTGCTTCAGTAGAATTTTTGAATAAAACTAAAATATGAAGTTTTCAAAACTGCGGGTTAGATATTTTAAGCAATTCTTTTTCATTATATATATATATATTTAAAAAATTTGTAAAGACAATTACATTAATTTCTTAATAAAATTATATTATCAAATATGGTAATATTCTATGAAAGGATATTATTGTAAAATGAGCAATTACATTAATTTCTTAATAAAATTATATTATCAAATATGGTAATTTTCTATGAAAGGATATTATTGTAAAATGAGTAGTGATATCACACCAAATATTTGCAGTGAATTGCCTAAGAGAATAATTTTTAATTGGATATTTATACCAAATACAATTAAGTGTAGAGTTCCATTTCCTAATTTATTTTACCAATTAAAAGAGTAAGTGTAGCAATTTACTGCAATTATTCGGTGCAATAATCATTTTCCTTGCAAAATTAGTAATAAATGTATTTTAAAAAATATTGTTGTCAAATAATTTAATTGTGAAAAGTTGTCACCAAATACCTAGATATTTTTTACTAACCACAATTTTTTGACAGCTATATTGATAAAAGCCTTTTTTTTTTGTGCCCTGCCCTCTTTTTTTTTTCCTTTCCAACAACAACTCCAAACAGGGCACAAAAAAAAAAAAAAAAATGAAAGTATAATGTTAACCATTTATCATGTTTGCTTAATTAACAAAGTAAAAGATATAAAATTATTTTAATAAATTTATTATTATGTGTTTCCAGAATAACAAACCAAGTCAATTCTAACTTTTTCTTTCATTTCCATTCATTTTTAAGAGGATAACAAAATCCTTCTATTCAGTTATGATATATTTTTCAAAATCCTTCTATTCTCTTTCTCATATTTTCAAAATTTTATACTGAACTCAAAAAATCATATACCCTCATTTCCTTTCAATTATTTTTAACCAATCTAGGCCTTGGTGCTCAATAAATATAATAGTCAAGAGTAGAGTAAGTTATACATATTTATTAGTTTTAACAAATAATTACAATAACATTAAGGACTAATCCTCGATCCAGTATTATCAATAAGAACAAGTAACACGTAGTCTCATATGCTCATTAAAAAAAAATTGGATCTAGTTTTTAAATTTTAATATAGCCAAGTGGTCAAATGAGTATATGAAATTTGTTGTAGCATATTTATTGCTTTAGGTAATTGTTAATAAACAAAATTTAAGAAATAGTTAAATGACAACTCCTCACCTTACAAGAGGAAAAAGAAAAAAAGAAAAAAAACAATAAACGGTTTTTTAAATACTTAATAAACAGTTCAATATTCTTGTTTTTATTTTAATTTACTATAATGAAAAATACATATATACACTCCATATATTTTGTTAAAAAGAAAAAGTGGCTTTATTTTTTGAAATAGAAGGACATAAAAACTGTACAAAAGATCGGAGAGGGACCAGACCGTCTCTCTCTCTCTCTCTCTCTCTCTCTCCTCTCTTCCCCTCTTTTTCTCTGTCTCTCTCTTTCTCTCTCAATTGGCGCACAGCAACACATGCCAGTTGCGTGCATTCTCATCATTTTATTTGGCACATAAAGACGGTTTTTGCCGACAAAATACGTAACCAGAGACCTCTCGAGAAGAGAAGAGGGACGTTTTTGTTTTTTCAGAGTAAAAATTGATTTCATAGTCCCCTCAGAAGAATCTTCAGTTTGTCAAGTATGATATTCTATAATCACTTTCTTCTTTAATCGTTTTATATTGAATTTGTTTGACTACATGTGTATTATATATATATATATATGTGTGTGTGTGTGTGTGATTTGCTTTGGATATGTGTTTGTTTGAATGAATGAGCTCGTTTCAGTAGTTACAGCAATTTCGGCTTTCTATGGTATGTAATAGACCTTCCTGTTAACCTTTTTCAATTTGAGGAACCTATGGAAACATTGTGAAATGATTTGAAATTACTATAACCTGTTTTCTGATTTTTTGGGTCTTTTCTTTTTCTTCTTCTATCTGTTTTCGGACAATAATTTCACCTCAATCGTGGTTCTATTCTGATTTTTGAATCTCTAGTTTAGAAGAAATTGAATATTTGATTGTGTCTCCCTGTGGATGTTTGTGTATACTAATTAAAAAAGACATATTTTTGTAATATTTTTCAACCCCTTCCCCATCTTCCAAGCTGATTTTCTTATTCATTTGTACAAATGATATTGTTGTCTTTCTTTGTGGGTTCAAGGAACTTGAGTTGTGGAGTATTCAGAATTGTTTTCTTCTTCTTCTGTGTGGGAGGAGTACATGAATTTGGGTATGACGGTTGTTTTAGTTCTGATTATTTTCAACATTTTATTATATAAATTTGGATTTGTTATTAGTTGTCATGGATTTTTTGGGAGGTTATGATGTTTTTATCCAGACCCGATTACAAATTAGATATTTTTAGTTTAAAAGATTGTAATATTTTCTTCTATCTTATCTATTGCCCCCACCAAAAAATGGAAAAAGTTCAGGATTTTACTGAAGTTTTTGTTTTAGGTATTCTTGGAGGATTGTTCAATTGTTCCCTTTAGCGAATTAAGAATTCTTTGATCGGTATAGTGTGAAGTGGGGTTTGAAATGTTTACTAATTTGTAGTTCCATGTACTGCAGATACTAGAGTATGTAGCGAATTAAGAATTCTTTGATCGGTATAGTGTGAAGTGGGGTTTGAAATGTTTACTAATTTGTAGTTCCATGTACTGCAGATACTAGAGTATGTCCCATCACCAGGTTGACCAATTTGGTTACATGGCTGAAGATGGGAATATGGATGATTTCGTCGACGAGATGGATGGCGAACACAATGGGGAAGGTGGTGGAGAGATGGGCCTTGATGATTATGATATGGTGTGTATACTTTCCTTCTAAGCGTTGTTGCAATATTAAATTGACATACTGTTCTAGCTTTTAGGGACTGCTCAACTACTTATTTAGTTGTATTAAAATGGGTCCCCGCCAAATTAAGATTTTTCTTGAATTTGAGCAGCTTACAAAGGTGACTGATACATCCTCTGCCCAAGCAAGGAAAGGCAAAGATATTCAGGGTATTCCTTGGGAAAGATTGAATATAACGAGGGAAAGTTACAGATTGACAAGACTTGAACAATACAGGAATTATGAGAACATACCTTTATCTGGTGAAGCTGTAGACAAGGTCACTTACTTGACCTTTTTCTTTTTCCTCTCTCCCTCTTTTTTTTGGTCAATGGTGATAAATGATTACTTTCTTTTTTGGATGATCATATGTTGAATCTATTGGTGTATGTTATGTAGGAATGCAAACAAACTGAGAAGGGTGGCATTTACTATGAATTTTTTCATAATACAAGATTGGTGAACCCAACAATCCTGCACTTTCAGGTTTGTGGAATTTTCAGTTTATGTATCTATTTTTTTCTTGTGAAATATCAACTTCTTCTTAGAAGATTTGTTAACGCAGTAGTCTATTAGATTCATAAAATCTTTTTCTTATCATTACATATGTGTGTGTGTGTTTGTGTGTGTGTGTGTAGTTCCATGTGATCGGGTCAACCTCTAATGAATTTCGTTACATACACATCTATTTTTCTCCCACTCACTTCTCCTCACGCACAAACACCCCTACCCCCACCTACCTGACAGAACACCCATGACTACACACACCACATTCACAGGCATGCATGTCGGAAAAATTGGTCAAAGTTGTTATGGAACGATGAGCTTTTCATGTTATACTGTCATTACTAATATTTTCACATTGTACTTATTTGTGTTAATTATGACTTGTCCCTTAGAATATATTTCTACTTGATCAATGATCAACTTGCCACATGGTCTTTTATATTGCCAAAAGTATGATCTCCTTGAACAACCACGTGTCCTCGTGCCTACCTGTACAGGTGTACAATCTCCATCAGACGTGTTTACGGTGGCCACTGGGACATGCGTCTTGATACAAACCTAAAGCTAATGCACATGCCATATGGTGCCTTAGCCTCGACCTTTAGTATTTGGGGTAGTTCTCTAGTTCAGCTACTCTGTTCAGTGAAACATCCTTTTAGGTCATTGGCAATCCGCAGGAAGATTTTTGAGCTCTGGGAGAAATCAATATGTTACCTATGTGTCACATTGTAACCCGGGGCCTAGGTGTGCAGTGCCATAGTGGATGTTGTGATCTCAATGATCAGGTTGTGGTCCGTGCATAATTTATGTTATTCGGATTCGGGTGGGAACAGGTACATATCGAATTGTAGACTTGCCTAATTATTGAGTCTTAGGATATGAGAACTCGAATCAAGTTTAGTCAAAAATTAGATATATGTTCATGGAAACTTATTACATACACGTCACGTCTTATATAACAAATTAAGAGCATTTAACTTCCTGTGGAGGTATTCTTGAATAACATGTGATGATTTTTAAGGATTCATTAGCATTTTGTGTTAGTTTACAAATGACAAAGATGTTGAGGAGGAATATAGTAAATTAGAAGGTCTTATGATGATAAAAGAAAAATACAAAGGTATTGGACTATGTTGAAAATGCAAAATAAGTCGAGAAGAAATATTGAAATTTAGAAGTATTTTTCTTGTCAAATTGACTTTCCTGCTTGAGAAGCAGTGAGCGTCTAGAACGGAAGGTCTTAAAGAGCTCTAGAAGGTACAATCATCATTCAGCATTTTCTTCTTCTTGCTTTTTTCACATACTACTGCTATTAATTTTTTGCTGTGTTATTTGTGATTGTTGATCTCCAACATGTTATACTTCAGCAATTGAAGATCTCAATTTTGAAGAGTTCTAGCAAGTGTGATCTTCTTCTTCTTTCATCCTCAGATAATCCAACAATTGGATCTTTATGACATATCCATATCTTAATCCCCATATTCTTGTCATGTTGTGTCAAATACAGGTCCTTGAAGTAAGCATCCTACTCCTGGTGAGATGGATTGACTTCTTGGTTGGTGACCTGTACTTTGTCCAACAGGAGCTTCATCTGAGGCATACACATACTATGTAGTGAGTTGCCTCGGAAACCTGACATGTCAAGTGAATTTGTTGAATATTTTTCATCAAGAAGTCTTGATGTTTGACATGTGTTCGATATAGACAATTCTTTCTTAGAAGTGTCCTCATTTTTTTTTTTTTTTTTTCTTTCTTTTGTGTTGTTATTGTGGTGGGGGTGGGGTTCGCATTATTGCATTGTGTATTTTGTCTAACGTATTCTTTTTATTTATTTATTTATTACTGGCAATTCTTTCTCGACCTGTACCTTCGACTTCTTTTGGGACCAAAATTTCCTCTACGTTAATTGCTGCCTAGCTGACTTGGCATACTGCATGGGTAAGTTTTATTCCATAAATGACAGCCTTCTTTGCATCTTGTGTGCAGCTCAGGAACTTAATATGGGCTACTTCAAAACATGATGTGTATCTCATGTCAAACTATTCAGTTAAGCACTGGTCATCATTATCCTGCAAATTGTCGGAAGTCCTCAATTTCTCTGGTCATATAGCGCCAACTGAGGTATTTGAATTATTCCTATATGATGTTTGGATTATTTGAAGCTGTCCAAAAAGGGGCCATACTCCTTGTACAGTTTGAGCATGACTCTAGTTCATCCTTCTGTTTGTTTCTCAATTTGAAAAGAAGTCTTATTTATGTCCACCACCCCCAACCAACCCCCCCCCCCCCAATTTTATTTTTTCTGCGCTAATGTTCTGTTCAGCTGATTGTTTGTAATACTTGGTCATCTAGAGACATGCGGGAAGCTTGTTAGAAGGTTTTACACAAACGCAGATCAGCACGCTAGCAGTGAGTGGAAACTTTTTGGTTGCTGGAGGCTTTCAAGGAGAACTTACTTGTAAGGTGAGTTGATATATGTGCAGTTGTCAGTATCTTTCTTTCTTTTTTATTTGAGGGTGAGGTGGGAGAAGAAAAGGCGAGGTCAGATTCCTTGACTATACTACTGAACATGAGATAGGCAATTGCACAATGTGGGGTGGTTTTATAAGCAGATATAGTATGATTTATCTGTTTCCATACTTCTAGTATGATTTATCTGTTTCCATACTTCTAGTATGATTTATCTGTTTCCATACTTCAGTTGCCTCATTCTAACCCCTACTTGCTAGTTGCTCCACCTACGTGCTGGTATGATCAAAGTATTTAACTTGCATCATGGATACTTTTTCTTATCTACAATCTTATATGCACTCCATGATAATTCTTTCTTTGTCTGTTCACTCCTCCTTGATGCTAAATTTAAATGGATTTTGAAATTCAGACATCTTAAATCTCGTAAGAATCTATCAAACACTAGCAGTTGTTGGGTATACACTTACAAAAACTGTACTTATGTATCCCCAAAGATTTGATTTGATTTTTTTTTTTTTGGGGGGGGGGGGGGGGGGGAAGGGGGGTGCGGGGCGGGGCGGGTGGGTAATAATATGATTTGGTGACTTCTTGTGCAAATGTGTGTGCATATGGACTCTCTTTTATCACAAAAGTGGCACAAGAAATAGTTGTGCACATGAGTTAAAAAAAAAAAAAGAAAGAAAAGAAATAGCTGTGCACGTGCAAATGTAAGTAATGGTATTTTTGTCTTCGGAATTATTTTTGCATTGGACTTCACTTTATCCTCCACTTCTTCTATGTGGTTTTCTCATCCGATTCTTCCTCTTACTTTGGTTAGAGTATTAATTTGACTTCTCTTGCAATCTCGATTGTAACATCATTCTATGCCAGGTTTTAATTTGTAACGGTGCATTTTTACCTATTTGGATCACCAATTTTTTTTTTGCAACAAAGGACCCTTGAAGCTTTCCCATACTTTAAAATTAGAGAAGAAGATTACTATTAGACATGATTTTGTTTATGTTTATGAAAAGGTTATTTGTGTAGCTTGACTTAGAATTGAATGCCATAGTGTCTTCTAATGTTACAATCTGATTCAACACTTATTTTGATCAAGTAGAATAGAACGTGTTGGATATTGGCACTTCTGCTCCCAGTTACTTTAGACTATATTCACCCCTTCGAATGATTCAATACAGGTGTTACTGTGGGGTCTTGTCCAATAACACATAAAATACTTAAAAATATTGAATGGATTGAATTGATCTTGTGAAGATGGTTGGAAATGAAATATCTTTGTTAATTCACATACTATTATTTTTTGCAATGACTAATTTGTAGCTTATTTGAACTACCACACAAAGAACTTAGAAATAAAAATAGAAGTGAACAAATGGAAACTTGTTGAAGTTGTCCAAGCTACCTATTTTTCACTGTGACTTTTGAAGTTTACGACTCACATAAGCCTCACAAATTGAGGTGTAAGACTCAGTATTTTACCTAATGCACCAGGATAAATTTTTCTTGAGTTTTATGTTTTCATGGGCACATTCCTAAAGTTCTTCTATAATGATTTTGGTGTCAATATTTAAGCTATTTGCTATTGCCAGAGTTGGTCAAATATAAGCTGAGGGGACCATGGCCTCTTTTATAACTTAAATAACAACACAGCTTCTGTTTGTGGTGTTATTTATTTTATACTCTCTATATATCTCTCTCTGATTTGATGTCAATTGACTGGGGCTGGTGTATTTTTTTTATGCTGACTGCTGAAGTGATAGCAACCACTTGGACATGCAACTACTCTTCATTTTCCTTAGTTACCTCAATATGTGCAGTTGGTTGTCTTCTGCAATAGTAGACCGTCTCTTCTTCACTTTTTATATCTTGCTTTCATGGTGATCTTCTTAGTAGTGTATAAGTTATTTAAATGATGCAGCGTCTGGATAAACCCGGAGTAAGCTTCTGTGCAAGGACCACTTACGAGGATAATGCCATCACAAATGCTGTTGAGATATATGACAGCCCAAGGTATATAGCTGTTGTAATTTACCGATGGACAAGGTCGGTTGTCTCACTGGACACATATCGATTTAAAAATTATTTTGCAGGGGTGGAATCGATTTTATGGCATCCAATAATGATTCCAGTGTAAGAGTATATGACATGGAGAGGTTTCAGCTTTGGAATCATTTCCGCTTCCCTTGGCCAGTGAATGTTAGTACACTTGAACCTTAGATTGATTATTGATCTCTTTTTTCCTACCACTTCCCTTTTGTGATTTTGACAAAGTAGTATGCTTTAGTCACTTCTTCAGATGGATTTTTTGAAGCTGTAAATTGGTGAAACTTTTTTGCTTATGATTTTCTCTTTAACTACACTGTTATGTGTTCTTGCTCACTAGTTGTTGAAGAAAATGAGTTAGAAATTGTTAGGACCTTTGTGCAGTGATTTGCACCACATCGTCTGCTCTGCTCTGGTCCTCCTTTAGAATTTCAAAATGAGAGTTAGAAATCATTAACACCTGTATACAGTGCTTTTCATCTGATTCACCTCGATCTCTCTTTAAAATGTCTAAATATCTTTCACCAGAACATTAGGCCTGACTTTTGCATATTAGGCTTATATAATGGTTAAATTGTTCATACTGGTGCAGTATGACTTGCATTATTTTATGTTGATGCAGCATACATCAGGAATTATACTTATTTTGTCTGACTTTCTTTTATTGATACAGCACACATCATTGAGCCCAGACCGCAAGCTTATTACAGTTGTTGGTGATCACCTGGATGGATTGCTTGTGGATTCCCAGAATGGGAAGGTAAATAAAGTCACCTTTATGTGATTCCTTTTTAAAGGAAAAAGTTCATATTTTACAACAACAATCAAACCTTTTTTCTAACTACTTGGGGTCAGCTAGAAAAAAAGTTTAGATTTTACAACTAAGAAATTGGATAAGTAGAATCTGGAGAAAATTAGGGTCTTTTCAACATAATAGCGTCAACCGAGAAGATTTCGTCCACCAAGTGGGACTGTGTGTGACCTTTATAAGCAATTGGAGGTTCTTCTATTGGTTATTAAAAAATTCCTCCTATCCATTTTTTATCCAAAGGCAATGTAGGCTGTAATAATCTTTGTTGGAAATTGCACTAGTAAGCAGGAATTGAAATTTACGTGTTTTAACTGGTTCCCTTATCATAATGTGTCATGCTCTTAGTGAAAAGTATATTCAGAATATTTTCCGAAGAAATCAGTTTTACCATTTACTTCTAGTTTAAGAGATGTATATGCCCAGTGTTAAAATAAGACAGCTATATTACTATACTTGTTGCTTCATGTAGTGCTTGTCCTCTTGTTCGAGGAAGAAATTACTTGGTGGCAATTGGAGCATTATTTTAAAAAGACAAGAAATTACTTGCACTTGCGATTGAGAAATTGATTGATACTGATATTACGATTCTTAATGCTTTCTCAGACTGTGGCTACAATGGTAGGTCACCTAGACTACTCGTTTGCTTCTGCGTGGCACCCAGATGGAAACATCTTTGCTACTGGAAATCAGGACAAGACCTGCCGAGTATGGGACTTGAGAAACCTGTCAACGCCGGTTTCAATTCTGAAAGGGAACATGGGTGCGGTCCGATCAATTCGTTTCTCATCAGATGGGCAGTTTATGGTGGTGGCTGAACCTGCAGATTTTGTCCATGTTTATAGCACCAAGGCTGATTATAAGAAGAGGCAAGAAATCGACTTCTTTGGGGAGATTTCTGGGGTTTCTCTGAGTCCAGATGACGAGTCATTATATGTTGGAGTATGGGACCGGACTTATGCCAGCTTGCTACAGTATAACAGAAGACACGCATATGGATATCTTGATTCCTTTGTGTGATTCATCCGAATCGTCTCCTTAAGGAGCTAAAGTAGTGGTTCGCAAATCTGCTCTTTATGGGATTCTCTATTAATTTGATGGTGGTCAGCCTGATCAACCGATATAATAGTGAAATTTTGTTTCGAACATTACCCATAACATGTACAGTGAAATGTAATTTTGAATCAAAAGATAAAAGCATCATCGCCATTGTCAATCTCTCTTGATTGTTTGTGCGTCCAGAAAGTACACAATATCCGGGATATTAGTGGTATTCCGATCAATTGACAGTCATGGAAACTCTTCATTTGCCTCGATAATAGAAAATAGAAAATTTTCAAGATAGATAATGTCATCCTTGAACTAGTAATGGTAATCTCTGTTTCTGATTAATGTGTTTGAAACTAAAAAAAATTATTATATCAATCATTACAATATTTAAATTTTATTCTCTAAAAACAGTTTTTAAAGAATAGTAAAAGTATATATGTGTGTAATTGTTGATAAGTTTCTGCCTCAGAGTGGGACAAATCTCTTAGAGCATCAGTGGTTCAAGTGAGGAGGGGTCGTCCATTTTACAGTGATGCACTTAATTTAATCAATTACCTTGGGTTGGGAAGTATATATACATTCATATATGTATATGTGTGTGTATATATTCCAAGAAAGGTAAGGATCAGAAAAATAATAGTAGTTCCTGTATATTTAACCCAATAAGACAACATTGCAGTGATTAGATGCTTAAGATATTGGGGGTATCCATCCAGGCACATGAATTTGATACAAACAAACAGTCCACGAGCAAAACAGAAACAAAAGTCTGGAGCAATGTTGTTATTACATCACCTGTTGGTGACCTAGCAAGATCACTCCCAAAGTGCGATTGGACAGAAATCTTGACCATCCTTTCTTCCCAATCTTTGACATGTGTCCAGCTGTAGTTTCCTCACAAGTGACAAGTTTAGACAGAGTGTTCATGGGACAAAATGATGGAAAACCCCATTCTTCCACTTCAAGTTGTGGAGCCTAGTGAGGGTAGCATCATGTGTAGTTAGCTGCTCCAACTATAATTGCTAGGGAATTCTTTTCGCAAGTAAAAAAAATAAAAAAAAATAAAAAAGAATTATTCATTTTCATCTATTGAATAAGATGTGTTTTATATGTTTTAAATTTTATTATAAATTTAATTTCATTTGTTATATTAGAAGAGTTTTGTTTATGAAACTCAATAGATAAGATGTGTTTTATATTTTTTAAATTTTATTATAAATTTAATTTCATTTGTTAAATTAGAAGAGTTTTGTTTATGAAACTCACCTCTTCTAACCATTGAAATTAAATAGTCACTTAAATCCCGAAATTTCAAGCATGTATATATATTATATAAAATGGAACGAATTTTGAATCTATATAGATAGATTCAATCATATTAGGATTGAATTGAACAAAGTAACATAATTTGTATATTGCTTTGGGTGCATAATTAGATACTAATATTTAATTTATTTTAAGAATTAGGTAATATTTAATTGACAAGACATAAAAATGGACAAATTGTAAGGGACCACCTACTTTAACCTCTAGCACAAGGCACACAAGTGAAGCGACCCCGTGACTGAGGTTTGGATCTTGTGAAGAAATTGGTGGTACATGGTAGTATTTTGTGAATTTCAAGAGATTCTTGTGTTCCAATCAGTACTTTTCATGTTCAATTACCTGGACAAGCGAAACAATGATCAAACAAAGTGACAAATATAGCACAAGACTTGGCCTTCAATTTGTCTCATCATTTCTCAGAATTTTATCAAATCACCATAACATTCTCCTTTGAAATTCCACTTTTGCCCTTTATCCACCCCCATCTTTTCACTCTCCCCTTTCACTGGACAACAAATTTGCACTATTTTGGTAATACACTGTCCCATCTGTTTTTTTCTCTCTCTCTCTCTCTCGTGATCACAGTAATTTGAAATTTCTCATTTTGGTACACAGAGTGCAACATCTCAGGGACACTCACAACTAAATTTCTTGACTATAGTACCTAATAGCCATCTTTTTCTGCTTCTGTCATGGCTAACTAACTCAGAAAGTGAGAGATAAGGTAATGACGAGGATGGGTTTTCTCCATTTGCTGTTCTTTTCATGGATTTCAGTGGTTTCACTGAGTGGTTGCATTGGCAGTGACCAAATTGTCCAGCTCAACGACGATGTGTTAGGCCTGATTGTCTTCAAATCAGGCCTTCATGACCCTTCCTCACACTTGCACTCATGGAGTGAGGATGATGACTCCCCATGTTCTTGGGATTTCATAGACTGCAATCCTAGGACCGGCCGGGTCACGGCAGTGTCACTCAACGGCTTAGGCTTGTCAGGGAAGATCGGGAGAGGCCTCGAAAAGTTGCAGTATCTCAAGGTACTATCTTTGTCTCATAACAATTTTAGTGGTACTATCAGTCCAGAGTTAACTCTCAGCAGTAGTCTTGAAAGGCTCAACTTTAGTCACAATAGCTTTTCGGGCCTCATTCCAACATTTCTCACTAACATGAGTTCAATCAAATTCCTAGACCTTTCAGAGAATTCACTCTCTGGACCTGTCCCTGATAACATGTTTGGAAACTGTTTTTCTCTTCGATTCCTTTCTTTATCTGGAAATCTTCTTGAAGGTCCAATTCCAAGTACACTTCTTAAATGCACCACTTTGAATAGTCTCAATCTCTCCAACAATCATTTCTCTGGTGACCCTTTTTTCAACAAGGGTCTTTGGTCATTGATGAGGATTAGGACATTAGATCTTTCACACAATGCCTTGTCTGGGAATGCACCACTAGGCATTTCAGCCATACACAACCTGAAAAATCTCCAGTTACAAGGAAATCATTTCTCTGGTTCACTTCCTGCTGATATTGGGCTATGTCCACACTTGAGTAGGTTGGATTTCAGTGATAATGGCTTCACCGGATCGCTTCCTGAGTCACTTCATAGGCTAAATTCACTCACTTTCTTCAGTGTGTCAAAGAACAAGTTAAGTGGTGATTTGCCTCAGTGGATTGGTAACATGAGCAGCAGCTTGGAATTCCTAGACCTCTCGAGCAACGGTCTCACAGGAGCCCTTCCATCCTCGTTGGGTGACCTTAAATCATTGAATTATTTAAGTTTGTCCAAGAACAGATTAGGTGGAAGCATTCCAATGTCACTGGTGTACTCTACCAAGCTATCCGTGATTCGGTTAGGAGGTAATGCTTTCAATGGTAGCATTCCTGAGGGTTTGTTTGATATGGGATTGGAGGAATTAGATTTTTCAGGGAATGAACTGAGTGGTTCAATCCCTCCTGGCTCGAGCAAGCTCTTTGAATCACTTCAAAAGTTGGATCTGTCGAGAAACAATCTCAGAGGAGATATTCCTGCAGAGATGGGCCTTTTCTCCAAGTTGACATACTTGAACTTGTCATGGAACAATCTGCAATCGAGAATGCCCCCGGAGCTCGGATACTTTCAGACTCTAAAGGTGTTAGATCTCCGAAACTGTGCTTTATATGGATCGATCCCGGGTGATATATGTGAATCAAGCAGCTTGGAGATTCTTCAGTTGGATGGAAATTCCTTGACAGGGCCAATTCCTGAAGATATTGGGAACTGTTCATCTCTCAATTTGCTGTAAGTCTCACTATATGTAATATGTCTATGAATGACTCTATACATGTTATGTTTGAAAAATAAATATACTTAAATAGTAATTGTGATTCTCATTGTTGCAGGAGCTTGTCCTACAATAACTTGACTGGTTCGATTCCGGAATCCATTTCAAAGTTGAGCAAGCTCAAGATTATGAATTTAGAGTTCAACCAGCTGAGTGGAGAGATACCACTAGTGCTTGGCAAGTTGGAAAACCTACTTGCTGTGAATATATCCTATAACAGGCTCATAGGGAGGCTTCCTGTTGAAGGTATATTTCCAAACTTAGATCAAAGTGCTTTACAGGGAAATTTGGGTATTTGCTCACCCTTGTTGAAGGGACCATGTAAGATGAATGTCCCAAAGCCATTAGTTCTTAACCCCTATGTCTATGGCAATCAAAATGGTGATCATAACCCGGGGAACGATACTTCAATAAACTCCCCAAATTTCAGGCACCACAGGTTCCTCAGTGTGTCAGCTGTTGTTGCCATTTCAGCAGCTGCTGTGATTGCAGTTGGAGTGATGGTAGTAAGCCTGTTGAATGTTTCTGCTAGGAGAAGACTAGCATTCATCGACAACGCCTTGGAGAGCATGTGCTCAAGCTCCTCGAGATCAGGACTTCTCCCCACAGGGAAGCTTGTGTTGTTCGATTCCCAGACATCTCCGGATTGGGTTACTAGTCCTGAATCCCTACTTAACAAGGCAGGTGAAATCGGTGAAGGAGTGTTTGGGACCGTTTATAAGGCGTCCTTGGGAGGAGAAGGGAGAATGGTTGCAGTAAAGAAGCTAGTTAGATCAAACATCATCCAATACCCTGAAGATTTCGATAGAGAAGTTCGAATTTTGGGGAAAGCAAGGCACCCAAATTTGATAGCATTAAAAGGGTATTACTGGACTCATCAACTGCAGCTTCTGGTTTCGGATTATGCACCAAATGGGAGTTTACAAACCAAACTCCATGAAAGGCCTCCTGGTACTCCACCTCTGTCATGGTCCAACCGGTTCAAAATCATACTCGGGACAGCCAAGGGACTTGCTCATTTGCACCACACCTTCCATCCACCAATCATACACTACGACATAAAACCGAGCAACATACTACTTGACGAGCATTTGAACCCGAAGATATCAGATTTTGGACTGACAAGGCTGCTGATAAAGCACGACAAGCACATAATGAGTAGCCGATTTCAGAGTGCATTGGGTTATGTTGCCCCAGAGTTGGCATGCCAGAGCTTGAGGGTCAATGAGAAGTGTGACATCTATGGTTTTGGAGTACTGATTCTTGAGCTCGTGACCGGTAGAAGGCCGATTGAATACGGAGAAGACAATGTTGTAATACTCGGCGACCATGTGAGGAATTTGCTTGAGCAAGGCAATGCTTTAGAGTGTGTGGACTCAAGCATGAACCAGTACCCAGAGGAAGAGGTTTTGCCGGTTCTCAAGTTGGCTATGGTATGTACTTCTCAGATACCTTCAAGCAGGCCTTCAATGGCAGAGGTGGTGCAAATATTGCAAGTCATCAAGACCCCAATTCCACAAAGAATGGAAGCATTCTGAGAAGATCAAGACTAGCACTGTGACTTTGTTTGTTTTCTCGTGGTTTTAAATTTCTTCTCTCTTCCATTCCTAATTGTAATATTTGTTGGCATTTTGTTGACATTTTAGTGTACGCTGTTGTGTTTTTCAAATGAATCCTAATTGCTATAATTTCTGAAATTTTAGTCAGTTTGGTATTATTATATAGTTGACTATTGAAGTGAACATCTGTACAAGTAGATTGTCATAATGGTATGTTGTGATTTGTTCGGGGCTTGCAAAGAAAGTGCTATTTTTGAGTGATTTCTGGTACAGGGCTGGACATGTTTGGATTTTGGAAGACACATTTAGGCTGCAAACGAGGTTGGATTGGTCATGAAGAGTTTGGGTACGAATGACTTGCCGTCTTAGTTCAAATTCAGTTGAGTTTAAACGAAATCTTGAAGAGTCCGAATTCTCTGTAGTACTTACAACACACGTGTTGTACTGTAGTGGACAGTACGATCACTCACACATGTGATTGTGCCACACGTATGAGTGATTTAGACCGTCATGCTGTTTCTGTAACAGCAAAGGATGTGAACTCTATTTTCAAACTTGTTTAATAAACCAATGTGAAATTGAGTAACCGTTGTCTCAACTTGTTTTGGCTCGTGAATAATGCTTAATATGAACATGAGACAGTTAGCACAAAAGTTGGTGAATGAAGTATAATTTGTAGCTGAAGTTTTTCTAAATCTTAAAAATCAAGTTGAAATCACAAGCTTGTCTTTCAAATTAAACGAACCAACTGGACAATCCTGAGCACATAAATAGACATTGAGACAAACTTGGACACCTATGTCTAGGCTTGACAAGAATTCAAGCCAAACTTAAACAAGCTCCAATATTCGGTTGATTTGTAACCTTAGAGAATGATGAAGGAAAAATCTTTTTATTTTTTTATTTTTTGGTTTAATATTCAATGGTTTTGATTATATTTCACTATTGTTAAAATATTTATCACTAATGTTGAGAAAGAATGGTGTAGAAGGGCTACTATTAGGAATTCAATGGTACAAAGAAATAAGACAGCAATATACAAACACAACACAAAAAAGACCATTTCTGAGTCCGCTAGACTTGACGTATATCTATGTCCACCGACAAAAGGAGCCAAAGACTTATTTATTTCTTTTCCTTTTAAAATTGAATGCTCTCACAAAACTCTCAAAAATGAGTGCTCTCAAAGTGGACTAGAAATTAACAATGTAATATTCTTGTATCTGTAACAACAACAATGAACATTTAAAAAAAAAAAAAAAAAAAATCAATTATCTGAGGTTGGCCATTTTTATATCAATAAGAAGTATTGCCAATAATTTTTTTCTCCGATGCGACGCCTCAATGGTAGTGGGGACTTACCAATGTAATGTGTATCGGTGGCGAATGGGATTATATATATATATATATATATTAGACACTGAAGCGTTCACGTGTTTGTATTTGGTGTTGTAGCCATCATACCACACGGTCACGGGATCTATATGTCTTTTTCCCTGTACCAGAATCAAATCACTGCCATCCTATTGTTAGTCGTTGAAGGTAGACCACAGAATGCTTTAAGAATTTTTTTGTTTGTAGGAATTTTAAATTACAATTTACTACTCAAAAATTATAAATATACACCTACACACTTCTCGATATGTCATTTTTACTTTTTAGTAATTTGTTTCCAACTATTTATTTTACTCAATTTTTACTTTTTAGCAATTGTTTCCAACTACATCGTATTTATTTAAATCAATGAACCAGGTACGCATAATAGGACAATACCTATTTGATGATCCTTTTATTACCATTGCAGAGTAACGTATGAATTATATTGGTAGTGAAATGATTCATAATTCTTAGCTATTCAGAAAAATAGGATAAATAATCGGAGAAATTCAACTAAATTTTTTTTTTTTTTTTTTTTTTTTTTCCCTCCTTTTTTCAACTAAAAACTTAGCATGAATCCTTATTCTATAATTGTATGTGCTGATTCAAGATTCTGAAACAAATTAAAATATATCCCAAAATCAAATATTATTAAAATATACAAAGATAAAGTAATTCGTTAGATGAAGCTCTCTATATATATTCATGATACATGCAAAAATAATTGAGAATCTATAATTTTCTTATATCTTGAATCTCTTTCAATCAGAGAGAGAGAGAGAGCAAATTCACACAAGCAAGCAAAAAAAAAAAAAGGTGCAGTGGAAAATGGACCACCCTCTCTGTCTCTATCCTTTAGATTTGGATAAGAGAGGTCTGCTGTCCTCTCAAAAGCTTAGAAGATGATACGCACATCACATGTTATTGCACCATTTGGAAGAATTTGTTCTTTCCTTTCACATCCAAAATTTCTTCTACAAGTTTGGTATACTAATTTGCTCAATTTAACTGGTATCTAAAGAGAGAAAAACAAGAGGGAAAAAAAAAAAAAACATCATAATTCTTTCCTGGACTCGGAACATTCCAAACATAGCATAATAGATGTAGAACACTGAATTTTTAAGCCAGACATCATGTCAATTATCTTGCAAAGCCTTCGTCAAATATAGTCTGCTGAAGCTCTGTCCGGCAACCCTGCAATGTTACAGTCCACAAATACATCATCAATACATGAACTTCAAACAAAATTCAATTATGTTCATCAGAATATATAGGTAACTCAAGTGTGTAATTTTTGTAATTTTCTTCTCCACCCAAAAAGAAGTTGATTACAGATAAAGTGGGGAAGATAACTGGTAACACATATGAAACGACAACATTTCTGCCTGCTTTTAGTAATTGAGACATACCCATTGATTTGGTTGCAGTAATTGGCAATTTGATTTGTTATGAGAAAGCTATCCAACCGTGTGGGTTCAGGGATTGGCTTAAAGACGGGATTTGAAGGATCCTCTTCAGGTAATGGCTCTTCTCCTGCAGCTTTGCGTGCCATGTTCTCTGCCCTTTAAAAAATAAAATAAACATGTTATAAGCATAAAAACAAAATAAAAAAATGATAAAACAAAAGAAGAGAGACAGATACAATGCACACGTGTAAAGCCTGAATTAACATATAGCATTACCATTCTTCAAATTGTGCTTAGGGAAAACTGCGCATCAGAACCTGATATATTTTCTTATACATTCAAAAATTATCTACAGGTGTAACGTTACATCTCAAAGTAGAAGTAACTTTTAATCATATTATAAAAATGCTTCCCTAGTAGTAAAAATTATCATCTTACCAGATCACAATTAAGTCATACTTTGAAACTCTGGGGAAAAGTTATTGAACACTAATTAAGACATGAAACTATGGTATTAAGCAATCAAGAGAAGAAAGATCTTTTATATGGTTTCTACAGATTTAAATAAAAACTTTGATGGGCCTTGAATTTTAGAAAAGAAAGGCGTTCCAAATATAAGTATTAATATACTAGCTAAATGACATAGATGATGAAATTGTGACTACAATAAGAATAGCTGTAGGAGAAACAAATAATTTCTGAAATACTGTAAAGCTTACATCTTTTTGCCAAAAGTCATGGATGAACAAAAAAGGATGGCATAATATGATATATGCTGGATGGCATTATTTTAATTGATGAAACTAGAGCAAGTGTCAATGATCTGAAGAGAAGCTCTAGAATCAAGATTGTTAGAAATAGATAAGATGAAAAATTAATACCTGAAATGTAATTTTTGTAAAACTAGGAATACAAGGAAGGATGTAGTGCAAATGAAGGGTTAATATATATCAAAAGGTGAATTTTTTCCCATTACCTAGGCTATTTTGTGTAAGATGATGGAGAAATTGCAAACCATGTTAAATTATAGAGCTAAAACATCATGTGTTAGATGAGTGGTGCTGACATATTCATGATTGATGTGCATACGACTTAACTCAACAAAGCCTATTTCCAACTATGAAACAAATAAATTTACCATCATTATAAAAACATGATCTCATTGAACACCAACCTAAGATATTTAAGAATTGTTTTAAAATGGGTTTCAGGTTATTGTAGATCTAGCAACACAATTCATTTCCTTCTTTTAATCATCAATCAATATATTGTGGAGCCTTTTCACATAAGCATTCTATGTTGACATCATTCTATCTCTTTAGTGTATTACCAGCTTTCCCACCTAATTCATTGAAAAGCGTAAAATGCTAAAACATTAAACAATAAAAAAGGATATATTAGGATATCAACAAAAAGGAAACCCATAGTTACCAAAAGAGTTCCTCACTTAACCAAAACAGTAGTATAGCATCTGCCAAATAGCCATGTAAGGCAAAAAAATTTGCTCCTACCTTCTCTTCTGAATAAATGCCTGCTGCTGGGCTTGCTGACGAGACAGGTTCCGATAGTAGAATTGGAACTGAAATTTAAATGGAAGTCTTGTCATGTGAACAGTCAATCTTTTCTTTTTTTTGTTAAGTATGTGAACAGCCAATCAAACAATGGAAACCCAAGACAAAATAAAAGCCTAACCTTTTGCTGTTCCATTGACAAATCATCCATGCATTCAATCAAAAATTCCACGTTCCGCTCCATAAACGGATTGGTTGATAATTGCAACCGATCATAATCACACTGGCAAAACAAAGAGAAAAGAACAAGTTGTTATAATAAAATTTATTGTTGTTTAATAGTCCCACAAAATGGATAAAAATTACCTGGGTGATGGGTGTATCGGCTTCCAGCCCCGTCATAAAGGCGCTGATAAGAGCAGAATTTGAAACCTTGATCTGTTAAATAACAGGCAGCATTAGAAGCTATATGAGAATAAAAATCCATTTAGTTTTCATAATGAAGTCTTCTAGCTCGTCTAAAATATAGTATCCAAAAATTCACAATGCTATCAAAATATATATATATATATGAGATAGAAGTTCAAAAAATTCATGGACAAAAACCATTTTGCACATCAGAAACTCTATGTTCCACTAGTCAGCCTCGTAGACTAAGAACTCAATACTCCTAGTAAAAACGGTTGTTGATTAATTTCCAAATCATTACCATAAATAATTTAACCTGCAACTAATTGTATTTAAAGCTTCCATCATACAGTAGGACATCCGAAAGGAGCTGTTTGGTGAAAACCAATGAGAAACATGGCTCATACACAAGAAACGTTCGGGTAATTTACATTGGTCATAAAATACTACTCCACATAAGAACAAAAGAAGAGCAGTCATACTACAGAAGATATTACTCTTCTGAATCCTGCTGAGAGTACACAAGCATAGACCATAAAAGTTGAAATATAATACTCATTTTAAAGAAGGAATAGTGAAGTATCAGACACATACAGGTATTTCCTCAAAAATATCCACCCATGACAGATTTTTCTCCCTCAACCTACAAAGCGAAACACCAGAAAAATGAGATTCATTCATTAACTCGTGTCCAAAGATTAATTCCATGACAGCAAAGGCTCTTACTTCTCTCCAGTAAAATTGTTATTACGATAAAGGTCCATGAAAGAATTTGAAAGCTTCAAGGCCTTGAGAGCAACAACGCCTTGGTTGGACCTTGAAGGATCATAGATGATGCACACACACCGTCTTATATTCTCCTGCAACCACAAATACATAATAGATCAATCACATGCATCATGTTAATATAAAATATGCTATTACATACAACTAGAGTAACCAGAAAAGTGTTAAAAATATGTAACCTGGTAATTCATAAAGGTCTCAATCAGTTCCACAGTTTGAAAAGAACCTAGCAAAGTTGATTGATACCTGGAAAATGTTGAAGAGAAAAATTCAACATTGCATGGACAAATCAGTCAGAACTCATATCAATCTTCCAAACAATCAATTCATCACATATCCATTCATACACTTCATTTATTTTGATAAGTAGGTGCATGGTCAATACATGCATATATACGAGCATCAAGATTTCTACTCAAGGAACAATTGAACATTCCCCTTAACAACATCACAGTTGGTTATATAAACAACACAATGAAGATGCTAGACTAAATTCGGTACTTAAAAAATCTATATTTCCCAAAAGTTCATTTCATCAGAAATTGACACTGAATGCTTCCTACACAGGTTTTGTTCAAACCAAAAGTGTATAACCTCTCAGGCAACCACACCTTTTTACAAAGAGAACATGGAATGTCCCGAGTGCTTAAAAAGCAATGCTGTTTATAACTACAATAATTATGAAACTACAATAATTATGAAGTTATCATGTGAATCCACTTCAAAATTGCACAAAAATGGCAAAAAATTTCAAGCTGTTGCGTCAACACAAAATCCTAATACATGTTCTCACAATATATAGGACATGCTCTATAGAGTAATCCTTTCATCACCATTTTGACAAGAATTTCCGAACTTGGCAGGCCTAGGTTCTGTAACAAGTTAATTTCAAAATATCAAACTACCATGTCTCCCAGCAATGACACAAAATTATAAGTGATTTTATAAGGATGAGACAAAATCTAGTGCTAAAAACAGGGACACTAAGGTCTATTCAGGATCAGGAAGAATTTGATTGTTATAAATCAGAGAATACGGACAATTTTTTTTTGGTAGTCCAATAGAGACTAGAAACAAAAAAATAAATAAATAATTCCCCCTGGAGACTGGAAAAAATTAGAAAGTCAAGTAGCTAGAACGATTAAATGATTGATGCCAACAAGATAACTCACACAAGATCCACCTTGGGCATCAAAATTGCACGTCCCATCAGAGTCCAAAATTTAGATAATTCTCAATACCAAGACGATTGATACAACACTCCTGTTTGAAATATTAATGGCCACCCCAAGGACAGGAAAAGGTGTAACGTAGATACACAATTTGAAAAGTTATCTCGATAAAGGATATAATAAAGGAGCCAGTGAGCAATAAATTAGAAATGCCAGCTGCCTTTAATCCTGAATGAAATGGTTTTTGGCTTCAAGAGCATGAACCACAAATTTCAATGAGTCTAGAGCATAATTAAACTGGGGGCTTTGTTATGCAGGATCAATGGATTATGTGGGATTATATCAAGGATCGAAACAATAGTTTTATATCCCACATTTTGTACAGGAAGAAGAGCAATCAAAATTAACAGGATCTTGAACAGCAAGTGGAACTCGTCAAAAGACAAAGAATTCTTCTCCAGCATGTTCAGCTTAAACACTACAGTTGCAAGATGTTAGGAGATGCCAAAGTTCTAGTGGAGGAGGTTTGGGAGAGGTTTTTACTATCACCAAAGGTAAAATGTCTTGCATACCAAGCATTTAACAAATATCACCAGGTCAAATAGACTATTCTTTTTACTATATATCATTTATTGACACAACACAACCATATGCAACAACTTGAAAAGGATTATGTGTCTGGAGTCTCTGGACATTCATGGGTGCATATACTTGTATCAGTATAATTAAAAAATCGGCAAATGGGCTCAGGAAGAAATACTATATATTGCTGGGAAAAAAATCAACCGTAACATGATACAGAAATTCATATCAGGACATCTTCTTGTGATATAAAATAGATCAAAAATATCATCTCAAGGGAAAGCAAAAATAATAAAGGAACAAAACCATCATATGTTTCATTGTTGGCAAACCCTAGCATCACAATAATGACCCAAAAAAAGGGACCTTTACGAGAAACAAGTATGAGTGAATATGTAGAACCAAACTCACCATCCAACAGTGTTGTTGTCAACATTAACCTCTCTCAAACATCTCATCATCTCAAGCTGATAGTTAGCACCTTCTGCCTCAATCTCCTCATCTTCCTCACGGATCTGCCATATTTGTCACATGAATATAGTTAAATATATCCAGACAACAAAGAAAATCGGAACTATTACTTGTATGCTGTTACATACCGGGAAGGGGAAACAGTTAGTGACTTCAAGAACGCTGCCAACATCTAACCCCAGAAGCTGCCCAGTTACCAGAGCTGGAGAAAACTCCTTGCAGTGTTTGATTATCTTTAATATAACCTGGTTCATGGTAATTTTATACGAAAAATATAAGACAAATTGCAAGCATACTTGTTACGCAAGAATTATAAAAGTTAACATGAATATACAAATTTGCCATCAAAATGTCATATATATTTTTTTAAATATCAGTCCTTCAAGTCCTCACAATAACTGATTCAGTACTTAAGGTATCTAAACTAAAACAGACACGTATATCTATATAAATATAGAGTGAGAGAGATTACCAATCCCTCGATCTGAACCACTCTCAGAGGAGAGGCAACCTCCTCTGTTGCTGCCACTTGTAGGAATGACCGAGCCATCGCTGCAATCAAAACACAAAAACCAACAGATATGAAGTTGAATAGATACGTCTATGCATATAGAGACATATATACCGATACGCATATATATAGAGAGAGAGAGAGAGAGTCTACACACTGTTTGCCATGGTGATGATATCTCCGGCAGAGAAACTATGCAGCTAGAACCGATTTGAGGATTTCTGAACACCGGACGAGGAACCAACTCTGTAGTGCTTCAACAAACCCTAGATTACGGTCCCGACCAAAAGAGCTGGTTTTGTTGAAATTCTTTTGCTGTGGATTGAACTTTTTATAGGGCCGACTTACCGAAATTGAAACTAAAAGAATTAATGGCCCGGTCTCTATTAGAGTAGCTATAAAGATTCTGGGCATTAATTGGGCTTCCTGATAAGCCCAATCACTGTACCCCGCCCAAATGCTTCAAAATGGGCACATGTACGTTTGTAGCTTTCAGAAAACCCATATTATTGGGCTCATATGGAGGCAAGCTTGATCCTTTAGTATGCTGTAAGCCGAAGCAAAACTATTTTTTTATTTTTTTATTTTTTATTTTTTTTCAAAGCAAAACCATTTACTTGTTGGTTTATTTAGTCCAGTTAAAAATGGTTTAGCATTAATAAAAATAATTAAGTTTTTTTTTGCTTTTTTTTTATGATGGTGGTGTCGGGTTTATTAGAGTGTCCCATAATTTACCACCGGATACATGTAATTCCCCGTCTCACATGTAAAGAATAATTACCTAAAAAATTTTTGAACTTCCAACTTCCAAAATTTGAGGCAAAATTTTTTGTAGTTAGACTATTCAAAAATTCAAATTTGAAATCATCAATTGAAGACTTTACTCTGTATGTTCGTTACTTTGAAGAATGTCTAATTCTTTTCCTCTTTGGGGAGATGTTGATGGTTTTGGATGTGACTTGCTAAGGACCAATTACACTTCTCTAATGCTATTAAGAGATTATTTTCTTAACAACAATCAAAATAATCAAGAATTCACAAGGAGATCATTTCAACTTAAAAATTGCATTCACAAATCATAGGTACTTTTGATTTACACGGATTACTTTATGTCTAATTTGATACTTGAGGTTATGATTTCTCAGGTTTCATTGGGTTAGATAGAATCAACGAGAAAAGAAAGGAAAGAGAAAATTTTGAAATTTTTTGGAGTTTGGTTTAGATAGGAAAAGTTCTAGAAAATTAAGATTCTCGTAACCCTCTATTTTCTCAAAACGTTTCCTACATAAAACACAAGCAATATCTTTTTATTTTGTTTTCCTATTTTTGCATTCCAATAACAACTTGATCGTTGATATAATTTTAATTAACTTAACTTTCATTTTTAGTTGTTTCCATCATATATGAATGAAATAAATAATAATTTATAAAGTATAAATTAATTAAAAACTCCACCTTTTTTTATACACTTACTACTAATTAATTTTTTATTGTTTTACCATTTTTATAAAAATAAGGACAATTTAGATATCTAAACTATAACATGATATTTTTTTACAATTTTCTTGGATAAATTTGTATCTTAACTAAATACATATTAGAAAATTACTTTTTTTTTTTTGGTCATTTTTCATTTCCTTTATTTTCTTACTATTACAACGCAGCCTTAAGTTAATCATCCATAGACATTTGATAATAAAGTCATCAATCTACTGTGGGAAAATGTGAAGTTCGAAGAGAGAGAAAGAGAGTAAAAAGTGAAGAATGGTTTGGTGATGCACATGGCTACCAATCCAATCATCACCACGAAACACATGCTTGAAACCCTTTTCAAACAAATGCTTGGTTATGCACTGTGATGGTGGTAGCGGCAGCTATAGTGGTAGAGGTAGAGACAGAGATGAAGAATAGGAGGTGGGCAGGTATGGGTAGAGAGAGAGAGTAGGGGCAGGGAAGACGAGGGCTTTTTGGTCTAATAAAATAACTTTTAAAGGTTAAAGGGCAATAATGTCAATCCACCATGATAATTGACCATTGGAGTGTTTTTGTTAACTTTAACATACTTGAGGGGCATTATTGTTTGAAAATAGACTAACTTTCATCTGATTATCAATAAAGTAAATTTTAAGAGGTATGAATGTAATTAATCCTAAAATTTAAAAGGGTTTATATAAAATATTAAAAAACTTGAGGGTGATAAGTAAATTAATCCAATCATTTTTGCCAGTCATATAGTTTTTCCCAGTATAAAATGGTTTACTTGAGAGAAGCCCAAACCCTAAGCAGATCCTCCAAAGACATAGTAGCCGAGACCTTGATCTTATAGATCTCGGAAGGGCTGTCTCTCTTAATGGCGGTGGAGGATCTAACACAAAACTAGGGCATCTCAGAAAGCCATTATGCTGTCTCAATCAGCTTTCGGCTCGCTATGATGCCTACAATTTCAATTCCTTTTTTCTCCATTCTTCTTCTTTAGTTTGCATCTAATCTAATAATCTCTCTCTACATATATATGTCTTTAGTTTATGCATACATTGGCACAGAATTTATTTGTTATTAGTATTATTATTATTATTATTTTGGGTAAAAATCGATCTTAAAAGGTAGTTGTGTTTTTGAAATTATAGATCCATATGTTTCTTCTTTGTGACTCAAAAATATTGATTTTTTTACTGGAATTTATCAAACCATCTTTGATTTGACAATCTTGAAGGGTTGAAGTTTTTGGGATTTCAAAATAAAACATCACCCTTAATGTTGGAATCCTTTTTTCTTTTTCCTTTTTTTTTTTCTTTCTAATTTCCGACCTTTCATGGATTAATCATTTTGCCTTACCAAGAAGCACCTAAAGCGTGGGTCATTGTAAATTTGTAGGGTCTATTTTGGTTTTGTTTCTAGATTTTTATTTATTTTGAGTATTATTTTTTGGTTGGGTGTGCTCTCAAAACAGAGCTAAAACAGAGCACTCTTTTTTGAACTGAAAAATATTTTCCTTTCCGTTTGAATTGTTGCACAACTGTAATTTTTGAACGGCTGTACTGTTGTATCTACTACTGTATCTACTAGTTTCTGTTTCGAATATGTGATTCGGTGCTCTCAGAAGCAACATGGAAAACTCATAATGGCCTTGGAACCATTTCATCACCGAGTGTAAAAACCTACAATGAACTCATATCATGTATTTATGCGAGACAAAATGTGTTTCACTGTAATTTTTTTTTTCTTTTTTTCCCACACATCATGACAACCTTCATTACAATCAATAATATTCATCATCATCATCAAACCGGTAACAAGTTGTATACTACATTGATCATCACATGCTTATTAGCATTATCATCGTCACCATCATGATATCAAGTAAACTTGGAGGTATTAACTTTAATTTTTTTTGGTTAATAAAGTATTGGTGGTTGTGTTTTTGAAATTATAGATCCAAATGTTCATTTTCTTCTCCCTTTCTCTTGTGTTGGTGATTTGTGACTAAAAAATATTGACTTTTTTACTATTACTCATCAAATCATCTTTGATTTGACAATCTGAAGGGTCGAGGACTTTTGGGATTTCAAAATATCCTCACCTTTATGTTGGACTCTTTTTTTTTTTTTTTTTTTTTTTTTTTCTCTAGATTTTTATTTATTGTTAGTATTTTTTTTGGTTGGGTGTGCTCTCAAAACAGAGCACTCTTTTCTGAACTGAAAAATATTTTCCGTTTGAATTGTTGCACAACTGTAATCTCTGTATATTAGTGACTTCAAACAACAGCTTTACTGTTGTATCTACTAGTTTCTGTTTGGAATATGCGGATTCGGTGCTCTTAAAAGCAACATCAAAAACTCATAATGGCCTTGGAACCATTTCATCACTCACAGTGTAAAAACCTACAATGAACTCATAATGATCAAATGTATTCATGTGAGACAAAATGTGTCTCAGAAATGAGAAGAAATATGAAAGGTTACCATTTTTAAAAAGGTACCAAAAAACATACAATTAGAACCTTCTTTGTTCCAAAATGTTTCACTGTAATTTTTCTTCTTTTTTTTTTTTTTCCCCACACATCATGACAACCATCATTACAATCAATAATATTGATCATCATCATCATCATCATCATCAAACCAGTAACAAGGTGTATACTACATTGATCATCACATGCTTATTAGCATTATCATCATCACCACCATGATATCAAGTAAACTTGGAGGTATTGACGCCCAGAGGTTGAGGTTGGTCAGCTTGTGAAGCCATGGCAAGCTCAAATTGCATTAGAGAAATTGTAGGGAAAGAAAGTATTTCTGGAGTTTTCAGATTTTCCCACCCTTTTACAGGGTTGGTGGTGGTACTCCCATCCCAACCTATGTGTGTCACGTGCTTAACATCCGTTGGAAGTCCGATCTCCATTTCCATCTCCTCCATCTCTTCCATCTCTTCTTTGTAAACTGCAAAAATAAATAAAAATTAAAAAAATAAATAAATGAAATTGATCCAAAAATATTAGAATATTAATTGGCTAATTCTTTATGTTGATGTTATTGACATAGCTAATTTCAATGTTTTCATGGCCTTATGAATGAGATTTGACCAATTTGACAATTTTAATGGTCATTTTTACATACTAGTTCTCATAATTCAAATGTACTTGATCATTCTGAGAAAATTACAGGGATGAAATTGTTCTTCCATTACTGAGAAGTGAGAACATCACTTTAAAGTTTCGTCACAAAAACTCGAAGACAGAGGTTTAGACATGATTACAGAAAATCCAAATGGCAAAGGAAAAATATGGTTTCATAAATTAACAAGATATATTATATTCACTATTAAGATTAAATTTTTTTTTAAAAAAAACACACACACACACACACACACTTGGAGGCTCATTTCCATGAATTCCTCATCCAATTTCTTAAAAGAATCAAAAGTTCTATTCGAAACACAGAACCAAACATATCTCTAATAGATTTCCAACTTTTTCTTACATGAGTAAATAATTTTTGAGAGAAAAGAAAATAGAGATAAAAAAATTCCAAATAATTTTTTTTTTTTTTTTTTTTCTCAAGATATTCAAAGTAAATAGTTAAAAACTTCAGCAACCATATGTTATATATGAGATTATTTTGTATTTCGAGCTCTATTATTGTTGTACTTTTTATTTTCAAGGCAATTAGAGTCATCGATCTTCAAATTAATTAATACATACATGCTTTAAACAGTAACTAATCATCATACACTTACCAAACAATTGAGAAAAATTTCTAAAACTCCTAATCAATCTGTGTATCCCATTGGAGATGTTAGGCTTTGGAAGAGCCAGGAAATTACCCCTAGAGTTCTTCATATTCACGCCAGACGAGCTCTCATCTCCTTCTTGTCTTCCTTGGAAAATACATCAAACACAACAACAACAACAACCAGTCAGAGACATGCACACACAGTGACACGCACACACAGTGACACACACACACACACAGAGAAATAGAGATCATACTTGTTACAGTTGTGCTTGATTCCGATTTCGACTTCTTGGATTGGTTTGTGTCAACTACAGCAACACTTGCATGCGAAACACAGCCAATAGAAAAAGCTGGAAGAACTACCAATCTCTCCATGCGATTTCTCATCTTTTCATAGACCAAAAGGCAGAAAATATTGGATATGTTAATGTCAAGTGTTTGAGGCTTGCATGGAAGTGAAAATGGTTTATTATATCGAAAACTGTGTTGGCTTTGTTGGCAAGTTAGAATAATTTTACGTGTGGAAATGTAAAGATGCATCCAAGTTTGGTAGAGAGAGAGAGAGAGAGAGAGAGAGAGAGAGTATTATGATGGAGTGGGTTGGAGTTGTTAGTTAGGTTAAACTGTGCAATTCAATCCATTTTTTATTTTTTTGCTGATTGTTAGTCCAATTTGAGGAATGAGAATATATATGTAAGCCTCATATATACCAACTAATTTTGTCATGATTTTTGTGTCATGAATTGAACCCTTAATTCCTAATGATTCTCTCTGGTGGGCCTCTATATGCATGTATACACTTTCCTCTCTTGAAGAGCACGCTAGCATTTCTATTGCTTTTACTGTTCTCTTCCTTTTCTCACCTCCAATCCTATTGAATAACTTAGCATCAAAACATAGAGTGAATCCCAAGCGATTTCTCTTACTATTTAAGTTTCAAAGCAGGCCCAAGTATATATTTCTTTATTTCCAAGTTGTGAAAACTCGAGCCCAATTGAGCCTCATAAGGTTCGGTGGGGTTTATTTCCGTTTCAAAATAATAATTTAAAAGAGATCCGTGTAATTTCGCAAATCATAATAGAAGTCCTTGTAATTATGTCAAGTTGTAAGAGAGGTTGTATAATTTACCCTTTAGTTATTAATTTTTTATTTATTTATTGGTAATTATCCAGAAGTTTATTTTACTTTTTTATGGTTCATGGCGCATTGCAAATAGTAATCATTTCCTCTTAACTTAGTGAACTTAAAGTTACTCCATTCCTTTTTCTTATCAAGCTTCTGCTTCATTATGTTTTTTGTACTTTGAGTTTTTATTTATTTATTTAAAAATTATGATAATTGTGTAAATATCTGTCTAAGCCTTTTAAGACAATGCATTGCATAATTGTATTTAGTAGCTTTAAAATCTCCAACAAACCAGGATATCTGCAGACTGGGAGTCATGAAAGTTTAACCGACAGAACCAGAAAGTTTAACCCACAGAACCAGAAAGTTTAACCATTCACCACTAAGAGTGGTGCAATCTAGGGTTAGGATAGCACATAAATGACATTAGCTGTTATAATGCAGTTGAAGCACGCATATTTATATATACATATACATATACATATATATATGTGTGTGTGTGTGTGTGAGTGTGTGTGAAGGGATATATAAAAGAATGAAAGCTTCTGCTGGAAATTTAAGCTATATTTGTAAGTCACTTTCTACACTCTAGCAAGGCTACAAACTTTGGGCCACATGAGGGTATTTTCTAAACCTGCCCAAGGAAATGCAGATATTATTGACTTCAAATGCCCTTTTATAGCTTCTGCTCTACATCACTTACATAACATTCTTAATTTTAAAACCACACATCCTCAGTTACAACATGAACTACACATATATGAATCATCTAATTTTGAACCGACAATCATTTCTCTGGACTTGAAATCGCCTAGAGTTTTCGGTCCTGTTCAATCACCCTAGGGACTGGTTTCTATCTTACTCTCCTTCAACAGCTTCACCACCTCAAGCATGGTTGGCCGCTTCCAAGGCTCGTCATGTGTGCACAACCGTGCAACTTCAAGAACACTCGACATCTGATCCTTCCATGCCATTGAACTAGAAAAATAGGGATCTAGTACCTCATATTCCCTCCCATTTGTGACCATCCACCTAACCCATCCAACAAGATTGCCGCCCTCAACATCAGCCTGACCCGTTGGTGCTCTTCCTGTCACCAGCTCTAGCATCACCACTCCAAAGCTATAGATATCACCCTTGGTTGTAGCCACCATGGTCTGACCATACTCAGGAGGTATATATCCAAATGTTCCAGCAAGCACAGTGCTAACATGGCTCTCACATGCACTAATTATCCTTGCCAGGCCAAAATCTGAAACCCGTGGCTCAAACTTGCTATCCAGTAAGATATTACTGGACTTGATGTCTCTGTGAATGATATGGGGAACAAAACCATGATGCAGAAAGGCAAGCCCTCGAGCTGAGCCCAGGCAGATCTTAAATCGGGTAGGCCAGTCAAGTGCCTCAACTGCATCTGCACGGTTCCTCAACCACACATCAAGGCTTCCATTCTCCATGTATTCATAAATCAAGAACCTCTCATCTGCAAAGACACAGTATCCAAGCAATGGAACCAGGTTTTCATGTTTAACCTTCCCAATTGTCTCCATTTCAGCCAAAAATTCACGGTCACCATGCAAGTGTCCTCCATTAAGCCTTTTGATGGCAATGGTTCTACCTTCGGGCAGTGACGCCCTATAAACTGTACCGAATCCACCATCACCTATAATGTAAGTCTTGCTGAAATTTTCAGTCGCTGATAAAATGTCTGCAGGGTTTACCCTCAATAGCGAGTGCTGAAAGGTTGCGATATTAATGCTTAGTGGCTCCTTTGATTTCTTACACAAAAGCTCATCAGAGGACTCAGGTTCAATTGCTGTCACAAGCTTACCCTTTCCCCCATCAAGTATCACAGCTTCTTGTCTCAGCATCCTGCATCTGAGAAGACAAATGAACAGGACCAGGGAAACAAATGTGGCACCAAGTGCAATGCCCAAGACAGAAGCACGGGTTAAAATCTGTGCAGGTGGGTAGCCCTGTGCGGAAGGGAGAATAGGTTGGTTTGGTATGCATCTTTTAGCCTGTGTACAAGTTTCTGGTACGTGGCCGGTGAATCTGTTTCCAGAGAAATTGACAAAGGCAAGCCCATCTATGTTACAAATATTGCAAGGTACAGACTCTTGGAAATTGTTATTAGACAAGTCGAGATATGTCAAGGCAGAAAGAGTAGAGAGTGAAGAAGGCAAGCTGCCAGTAATTTTGTTGTTGTGAACATCCAGTGTGGAAAGGGTGGTCAGATTAGAAAGAGAATTACCGAGGTTACCAGACAAGTGGTTGTTGCTGGCATTTAGGACCAAAAGAGAACTGGTGGTTCCAAAGTCAAAAGAGAGAGGTCCTGAGATGGAATTCATGCTAAAATCTAGATGGGTCAAACTCTTAATGGTGAATATGGATGAAGGCAATGAACCAGTGAGCCAGTTATTTGACAAATTAAGCTTGGCTATGCTTGGTGTCATTGATCCTAGATTATCAGGGATTGAGCCAATAAGCTGGTTATGTGAAAGAACAAGTCCCTGAAGGTTTCTCATTGAGAAGAACTGAGGAATAACTGGTCCTGTCAAAGAATTGAAAGAGAGATCAAGGAAAGTTAAGTTCATCAGACCTGAAATCTCACGAGGAATGCTTCCATTGAGCTTGTTTCCCTGTAAGAGTAGCTCTGTTAGGACAATGCAATGCTTAATCGATGCAGGAATGGGACCATCAAACTCATTATTGGACAGATCAAGCATGCCATAATGCTGGGTGAACTCGGAGTCTGGTAAAGGCACCTTTTGAAACCCAGAGCAGATTTCCTCAGGTATTGGACCAGAGAAATGGTTATTGGATAGCACCAGGTTGTCGAGAAATCTTAACTGAGATATGGATTTTGGAATTGGACCTGAAAGCCTGTTTTCGCCAAGGTCCACAGACACCAGCTTTGTGCACTTGAAAAGCTGCAAGGGGATATCTCCAGTCAACTTGTTACCACGTAGAGACAGATTAGTCAAATTTTTGAGCTCACCAATGGAACTTGGGATGTTTCCTTGAAAGAGATTATTGTCTAATTGCAACCTCTGCAGATTAGAAACTTTGGCAACTTCCTCCGGAATCTGACCTTCAAGAAAATTGTTACTGAGTGATATCTCCATAAGTGTTTTGGACTCCCACAGTTGACCAGTAATATTTCCAGAGAAATTGTTTTTTGACAGTTCCAGTGTAACCAGCTGGAGGTCTCCCAAATAAGAAGGTATTTCACCAAAGAGATCATTTCCAGACAACACCAAATCAGTGAGATTCAAACATTCCCTGAAAGTGTCGTCTATAGTACCAGTAAAATCATTATCCGAAAGCGATATACTGGCCAATGACTTTGCAGAGCATACTTCTGCAGACAACTCACCAGAGAGCAAATTGGTACTGACATCAAGTAAGGTCAGGGATGGCAGATTGAGTGGTGGTAGAGACCCATTAAAGAGGTTCTTTGCTAACATTATGGACCCTACTCGTTTCCAACTGGAAATCCACTCAGGTATAGGACCTGATAGGCGATTTGAGTCAAGGATAAGCGAGTCTAGTGATTCCAGGCCCGCAAGACCATAAGGTAATGTGCCAGATAATGAGTTGAAGGACAGATCTAGAATCTTGAGTTTCTTGCAGTTTCCCAATTGCCCTGGAATTGTTCCACTAAGTCCTGCATTGGCAGCAAGAAGGTAGACTAGATTTGTCAGCTTGCCGAAGCTTGAAGGCAGTTCTCCCTCAAAATTGTTCTGTGCTATATTCAAGTACGACAAGCTTGTCAGCTTAGAGATTTCTTCAGCCACTTTTCCTGAAAGTCTGCAACTCTGGAGATTAAGTACCTGTAGGTCTCTCAGACTGCCAATTGTATCTGGTATTGCCCCATTGAGGTTGTTGTTTCCAACACTCATTGAATTTATGCTGGTCAGTTGGCCTACTTCCACTGGTATAGATCCAGTCAGCGAATTCCACGAGAGATCAAGAGTTCTAAGCATTCCCAAGTTTCCAATCTCAGGAATTACTGGCCCTGTAAATCTGTTCTGACTAGCATCGAAGTACAGAAGCCTTGTAAGGTTACCCAGACTGGAAGGTAGATTCCCAGTGAAGAAATTTACACTAAGATCAAGTGACTGCAATTTTTGTAGGTTTCCAAGCTCTGCTGGAAGATTACCAGAAAATGCATTTGCATGGACCGATAGTTCATTTAGTTCTCTCAGATGACCAATTGTCGTCGGTAAACTGCCAGAAAAGCTATTGTCATCAAGTACAAGTTTTCTAAGGTTTTTCATGTTCAAGAGGGTAGGAGGCAGCATCCCAAACAGTCTATTATCACTCAGATCCAGGATCTCCAAATTCTCAAGATGCCAAAAACTTTCAGAAATATGGCCAATGAGGGCACAATGGCTGAGGTTAAGATGCTTCAGATGTCTGAATTCTCCAAGACTGTTCGGAAATGGAAGATCTAAGGGTAACAATGTACAAGATAAATCAATTTCATGAACTATGGGACCCTCACACCTTATGCCACTCCAACTGCATGGATGGATCTTTGAATTGAACCAACTCGGAATAACATCTCTTCTCTGGACAAGAGAGTTTCTGAGAGCAATTAATGACTCAATGTCACCAAAGTAATTTGCACTTGAAAAGGATGAATGTATGAAGCAATAGAACATGAAGACAAGAGAAGCCTTCCATCTCAGAGCTGAGTTTTTCATTCTGCACCAAGTTCTGATGAATGATGATGATCAATTGCAGGAAGCTTTAATCGGTATGGATTCCACCTTTGAAACTAGAGAGATATATTCTGCAAGGTGAAACATGAAATTCATGATTTGTAGAATTTAAATCATGTCCATCTTTGAACGATGACAAATCTTCAAATTCACAGTTTTATTCACATTTTTCTTAGGCAATTTTATTCTTAATAAATACTATTAACAAATCATGGTATTTGGGAAGAAAATTCAGAGTTTCCTCATTGAACTTGGAAAGTGAGATAGCAATCTCTGGTAAGAGGTTAATGATGAACTGACAAAGGCCCAGTCCAGCTAGTATCTCAGGTTTGAGTCCCAATGGGACGATATGGATGCAGTATCTGACGTATTTAACAAAAAACTAAAAAAAAAAAAGAAAAAAGGAAAAAAAGTAAAGCTCAAATCAGGGCAGCCTCTTTTTAGCCAATTAAACAAAAGGAACACTATGAAATTAAATGTTTTCTGAACACAATTTAATTAAAAGCTCGAGTTTCAGCTAATCTGAAGGACCCATATCCTTGCTACGATTAAGAAATAAAAACAGAAATTACCTCCAAGCTAGCTTGATATGACAATTTCAGAGTCTCTCAAATCTGAATCTCAATGACAAACTTTACTCCATTCGGTAACAAGTTCCTATAGATAATCACATAAAAAACATATATCATACCAAAATGTTGGTTTTTAGACAGCAATTTTTAGAAAATCCTTCTTGTATGATCCATAAGCAACCTCCACGTACCAATTAAATATACATGTTATTCCTAGAAACTTGTTAGAAATTATACAATCAAATAATTTGTGCAACCTTGCACCAAGGCTTAGCCCAAGTGGTATCTTCTCCTTGTTGAGAGTTTGAGTATCCATGGAACAAACGGGTGCATAGTGTGTGACCACACCAACCCAACAAATATATATAAATATATAAATAATTTGTGTGTAACATCTTCTCAGTTTTATTGAGACTTCCAACACCTCCCATTCACAGATTGAAAGAATATTTAATGATAAGAATCATTTTTCAAAACATTTCATTTCAAGTATAGTTTTCCATAGAAAGGTGGAAAAAGATGGCACTAGAAATAAGCCAGCTTTTAACCTTCCCAAATAAAAACAGCTTTCAGGAAGATAGAAGTAAACCATCTTAAGAGCAACTCAGAACTTTCGACCTCTCAAAATCAAGAAGCAATCTTAAAAAATAAATAAATAATAACTGAGGAAAGCACGGGTCTTCCTCTACACACACAGAGAGAGAGAGAAACCTGGCCGTTATGGAAGGCAGATGGGATGATTAATACGCTATTGTTGCATCATTAAAGAACGTCTGTACTCTGTATTGTCCATCCTCTTCACAACGGCAAAACCTGGTTTTAAAAGTCAAACACTTTGTTAGACACAGTAAATCCACTAATTAATGACAAACACTACTTCACAAAAACCAATCTTTTAATTAAATACCAAAAAAAAAAAACACCATCCAGAAAATCAAAACCGTTCCTTCAGATTCTGTTGAAAACACCAGTCACTGAGAACGAAGCCCCAGAGCTCGAGTTCAAACACACACCCATCTTACACAAATTAAAGAAACATTATAAGTGGAGAAACCCAGAATGTTATCAGTGGTGGAGAGTGGAGAACAAAAACCCGGAAAAGCTGGTCACTTTATATAAAGGCATTGGGCTCGAGAAAGATTGACAGAACTCAAACCATTAAAAAATTACAAAAAGGGTCAGAATGTTAATGGGCTATATAAACAACAAAATGGCTGCGTCTACAGCCCTTAAGAGTCCTTCGACCGTGGATATTATTTTCCAAATGTAAAGCTTGCATTTGTAATCAGCCTATTAATCCATGCTTTTTGCAATTATATGTATATATAATATATATAGTACGAAAATGCACATAGATGTGTGTGTGGAAGCATCAGTTATAGAGAGAAAGACAAACCCTATCTAAAACGCACGATCGATATTTCGTTTTCTACTTCTTTTGAGATCGTATCAAAGATCAATGGAACCTTTTAATTTAAAATAATAAAATGATTTTGGAAAAGTGTTGCAAAAGAAGTTCATGTATAGTCACAAGTCACTACTCAGGCTAATAAAGCCAAACTCTGTGTGTAGAACAAAATGAACAGAACTCAAAAGACATACAAGTGAGTGGTTTGGCTTTTCCCATATCAAAATGTACCAAAATCAATGAAGTATACAACTCTCCGAGATATTAATGTCGAAGATCAGAAAGCCAATAATCTTGAAATTAACAAAGAAAACAAAAGTGAAAAGCACAGTAATACTAAAAATTAATGACCTGTGAGAAGTTCTTCAAGGTTATGATTCTCTGAATCTGAATCACCTGTCGCCGACGATAAATTGAAGATTTTCCGACAAAACACAGAAAAAAAGCTCTCTTTTCTTTGTCTGTATATGTATCTTTCTAGCTAAGAAGAAAAGTGAGGTGTAATGAAGCTGAAGTTGAAGTTATCTCGGGAGTTGTGGAAGATGAAAAGCAAGGGGTAGAGAGAATAGCATCTCCCTGTAAGACTCAGAGCTGGTGCTGCAGATTTGTTTCAGAGACTTCCGTACGCTGCGCTTTCACCATGAAAACACTCTTTCTCTCTCTCTCTCTCTTCTTCCTCTCTCTAAAACAGAAAACTCATTCTCCCTCTCCCTCACTCTGATTTTCTCTCTCTACAACAAATCTGTGTGGGGCTCCTCTATCGCTCCTGCCAGGAGATGCGATACGCGTACGCTCGTCGTCGTTTTGCTGGGTGGTGTGGAAGGCGTGAGCGAGTGCACATGCTTCCAAAACGAGACGGTTACTTTCGTAGTCACTCTCTCTATCCGTCTCAGAGAGTCTCATTTAAGAGTGGGAGGTTATAACCGTACGCGCTTTGGTTTCTAAGTTTGTTGTACTCGCTCCGAATATATGGAAGTGTTTTAGTTGAAGTAATGAAAAGACGGAATTACCATCCAGATGTGTTTACATACAGCGAGTAGGATATTTTATGTAGTCAAGGTCGTGTGGGAGGATTTGAAGAAAGGGGTTGAAATAGAAACAAAAAGAAATGGAAAATGACTGACATATCCTATTCTATCTTTGTGTATTTATCGGTGTGTCCCACAAGTGGTAATATGCATAAACCGGTTAAGGATGGACCGGATTGACCGAATATCGGTTCAAAGTGACGTTGTTTTAGCCTTGGATCATTTGAATTTTTATTTTATTTTTTATATTTAATTTGTAACTAATAATCAACCCATAGTCATTTTAAATTCTGAGACTGACTGCAGATGTATAGGCGCCAATTAACCAAGTTATTTGGATGTTATTAGGGTAAAGTAAAATGGCAAACTCTCAGGTTTGGTATAAGGATGCCGACATATAGTGGCTTATATGTTTTTTTTGACAAAAATATTATCTTAGGTTTGATAAAGTTAATAAAAATATCATTGTTATACTCTAACACATTAAAATATCAATTTAAATAATACAATTTTTTTATTAACTTAAATATCCTTAAATTATATGGATTACCGGGTACAAGTCATGCGAGAAACCTAATTTTTCTCTCTCCCCACTCTATTTTTCTCTTTCCTTTATCAAACCCTAACCTAAACAAGCCGCGCGTCACTGCCTCTCTCTCAAACCCATCACCAAATCCTTAGCCCTCTTCGCCCCTAAACCCCTCACCACCATCGTCTTCATCCCCAAAACCACCCACCACTGTATTCACCCACCGCCGCTGCCACCACAACTAGCATCACCACTCCCACATCTATAACTACCAATATCCCAACCCTCAGAACCACGACCACCACCACTGTTCATTTCCGCAAATAAAACCCGAAATTCAACTTTATTGGGTTTTCTTAGAAGAGGAAGGTGTTTCGGCGACGTGAAGGGAGCTCGGAGCGTGGCCAGCGTCGGAGCGCATGTACGCGCATTAGATCTATTCGTAAAGACAAATCTTGGTGCGTGGGAGTGTGATATAGAACAAGTTTGAGGCCGGTGAAGTCTTCGGCGATGACGACTGCGACAAAGGGTGATTGGTATCATCGGCGACAAAGGGTAATTGGTATCACCGACGTCCTCCACCTACCGTGTTCGTAGTGGTCCGAGTTTGGGTCATGCTAGTCATTCCTTGGTTCTCCCGACCTTGTCATAGCCACCGTCCGTTGTCCTCATCACCATCTACTACCACCAAGCCCATCAACACCCATTATTTACCGCCATCATGCTATGAACCACCACAACCACTGCCGCCGCCGTCCTCATTTTTATGGCTATCACCACTACCCAGCGCCACCATGCCATGAACCACCACCACCACCACCACTGCCACGGCCAACATCCACCCACGGCTGCCACTAACTTCTACTCATTGGTTCAATCAATACTAACTTCTCTCTCTCTAACTTTAACTTCCTCTCTCTCTAAAGTTACCTAAAAACTTTATTATATATGTAGTATATGAGTGTATATATATATGCCCTCACCATGCCATGAACCACGTACCACAACCATTGCCGCCGCCGACGTCCTCCATCCACCGGCTTCAAATCTCTCTACAAGAAGTGGCAGTAATAGTGTGTATATATGTATGTATATACCGAGGGCAAAAATGACTTTTCATGAATTATGATAATTTACAATAAAAATAAATTAAATAGTGATTGGCAATCTCATCTTTTTCAACGTATTAAGATTTGTTTAGATCAAAAATTCTGATAAGAGATATTATTGTACAAAAATAGGACAACTTATATATGACTGCCCTTCTACCATAAGAATTCGTTGCTGATGATATTTTGAGTTAGATTTGTACATGTGAAAATTTGAATGCCCATTCAATGGACGACAAAAAGATTTAAAGTTATTTTAAATTATATATTTATATACATGTTCACATTTTGAATATAATGTACACTTATAGTCAGAAATTAAATCTAGGGCACAGTATAAAAAAAATAATAATAATAATAAACATGGCAATAAATATAAATAAGAAAAAATTAGTTGCAAGATAATATGTAGTATAAGAAAGATAAATAGTTTGACAAAAATTAGAAGAAGAAAAGAAAAATTAGAAAACTTTGAAAGGAAAAAAAAAAAATAGAGTTGGTTTAAAAAATGAAAATGTAACTTTTTTGAATGAAATTAAACGAATTTAAAGAGAAAAAATATAAATTTAAGAGTTAATTTTAAAAAATAAAAATTTTAGGGGACATTATATGAATTATTTTCATATATATATAAGAAAAAATATGTTTAGTATATATACATAATAGGCAGGGCCGGGCATTAACCGGCTCCGCCCGAGATATATATATATTTATATCTAACAAACTTATAAATATATTTCAAAAGAAAATCCAAATGTCCTTTACGTGTGTATATATATATATATATATATATATATATATATGTTAAAACAGGATTCATTTTCCTCTTTTTGTTTTCTTTTCCGTGTGCGTGTTAAAACTACGAGTACTACTTTATGGAGGGTAGGAAAGGAAACCAATTGGTAATAAATTAATAAAATATAGACGCAACTACATGTTGGGGTTGTTTGGTTTCCTTTATTTGATATATTTATGTGGTTAACGAGTGCAACACTTAAAGGGTGGTACAAACTTCTCACTCTTTTGTATTGTTACACTTAAACCGGTCCTATCCGGTTCCTTCAATTCGACCGGATGAACGGTTTATTCGGGTCCTATAGGCTACGAGAAGATGATAGTGACTAGGGGTAAGGAATGAAAATTCTTCTAATCCATCAAGAAAAGACTGGTGTATCTTGTGGGGGCCAAAGATTTGAAATCCCACGAGTCAGGCACGTGCATGAGGCTACACTTCATAAAGGTTGGTACTAGTACTAATTTGTCGAGCAAGTTGTACAAATTTTTAAAGTGGAATAGCAGGCATAAGGCATGAGGTGAGGAGGACACTCCTCTAGTTAGAAAAAGGCACAAAACGCACATAGAAGAAGGCACAAAACGCACATAGAAAAAGGTTTAAGGAAAAATTAAATAAATAATTTAAGTATAGGTTGTTTAAGAAATATAAAATTAATTTTCTTTTAAAAATAAAATTAATTAAAGTAAGAATATATATGCAATTTTTATAAAATTGGGATAGGGCAGGATTCATACATTTTCGTCCCCCCTTGGAACTCAGTGCTGATGAAACCTCCTTATAACATGTTTATTAGTCATACCATTCCTTTGCTGGACATAAATATACCAAATCGGAATAAATTAACACCTCTAACAAAAAGTTCTTTTTATTAAGATTTAAGACCCATTTTAATTGTGTTTGGTTACACCAAGTAGTAGTTTTTTTTTACTCTTTTTGCGATACAAATATTACTGATATAAAAAGTTTTTGGCAAGTGGAATTTCTATGTATTCGTAGAACTTTGGACCTTCTGCTTTAAAAAATGATTGCTTTTGGTATAAAAAAAAAAAGGAGATGATCAATGCAATCAATTTTTCTATAAAAATATTTAATTTTTGTTTTTCTTAAACTAAATGACAAAAATGCCTCTAATACTCTGTTCTTGTTAATTGACTAACGGGAGACAATAATGTCACTTCACACTAAAAGTAATGCATACTAAATAAATAAATAAATAGTGTATTTTTCACCTTCCTTGAAAAAATTACTTTAAATATGGTAATTACCTCCCTTAGGGTTAAGGGTAATTATAGACGGTACCCTTTACGTTTAAAAAATTACACCGTCCTTCCTCAAGATTTGCTCCGTCGTAACACTTAGCCCCCTCCGGTGAAAGTCAACGTCGGTCAATGATGACATTAGTCATTTTTAACCCTGTAATACCACATTTGCCCTTACTATATTTGTAAAGACATTTTAACCTTTATTTTTATATTAAAATTATCTATGTACCTAGAATAAAAAGACAAAAAAACCCTTACATAATATCTTTATAAGCCCACACTCTTTAAGGTCTCCTTCAAGGTCTGCTATATATATATATATATATATATATATATATATGATTTTTTTTTTTCTCTCTCTCTCTCTATATATATATATACATATTTTGTGGTTTTATTTAATTATTTTATTTTTCCTTTTCATTATTGTTTAACCAGATGTCTCAGTCAAGCTCAAATATTGCAAGAGGCAATGCTCTAAGGAATTTGAGGTACAATAGTATGACTTGTTATTGTGGTGTAACAGCTGCAATAAATTGTGGTGTAACAGCTGCAATAAGGGTTACAATTTACGACACTTATCACAATAAAGGGAAGTTGTGTTATACCTGTGAAAGAAAAAAATGTTCATTGTGGGAATAGTGCAACCCCATTGGTACAATAGGTGGTTATGAATCATCTACAAATCAAGATGGTGAAGTTCAACGAAATGATGATGCTGCTTATCTGAGAGACCAATATGAAGCGATGAACAGGCGGTTGGATCTGATTGAAGCAAGAAATGGACAAATGAAGATGTTCATTATTGCAGCTTTGTTGTTGTCTTTCTTAGCCTTGTTAAAAACATTTTAGTAGCTATTAAGTTTGTACTGTGTTTAAAAGCAATGTAAGTCTATTTTTGAAGAAATATAACACTTATGTGTTCCATATAAACTAGAAGCAATATAAGTCTATTAAGAAGATATATGAAAGTTATACAGTATGAACTCCATTGCAAAACATAGTGGCATGCAAAAATAACCAAAAGCTTATATAGTATGAACTCCATTGCAAAACACAGTGGCATGCAAAAAATAACCAAAAGCTTATATATAGTTCAATCCAACTGTCTCCACTTCATTACATACACAAAACAACCAAAAGTATACCCATGACCCATGAGTATAAGTATGTAATTATATCCTGTCCAAAAACCTATCCAGCAATATCCCAAAAATTGTCAACAAGTAGCAAGCAAAGTTTCCCAAAAGTGACAACTTATCCACACATGCTCCTAATGCAACTCTAACCATGAGCAAACACTTTTCCACATGCCATCAAAACAAAATAGTAATATCAAAAGTGATAGGTTATCCACATATGCTTCAAATAAGAACACAAAAAACATTCTTCAGGGGAGGCCAGAAGGATTGAAACAGCATGACAGTTACCACATTGCCTGTGGAAAACAAATAAATGGAGCTCAAAAAAAAAAAAAATAAAAAAAAAATAAAAAAAAAAAACCGAAATATATAACTAAAATTTACATGACATTATAATTTACCATGTCAGAAGAAGTACCACTACCAAGTTGGGGCTGAGACATAGACGCACCCCTCCCACCTCTAACTGCCTAAGTCAAACAAACACAACAATTTCAAATAACTATATGGCCAATAAAGTAAATCTGTAAATGAAAAAATAAAAATAAAAAAATTTACCATTTGAGTTGCGCCTCTACCAAGTTGGGGCTGAGAATTGCTTGCACCCAAACTCCATGTAGCACCTTGGGGTTGAGAATTGCTTATACCACCCATCACACCTCTAACTGCCTGAGTCAAACAACCATAACAATTTCAAATAATTGTATGGCCAATAAAGTAAATCTGTAAATGAAAAAAATAAAAAATAATAATAAAAAAGTTAACATTTGAGTTGTCCCTCCACCAAGTTGGGGTTGAGAATTGATTGCACCAAAAACTCCATGTAGCACCTTGGGGTTGAGAACTGCTTATACCACCCCTCCCACCTCTAACTGCCTGAGTTAAACAACCACAATAATTTCAAATAATTGTATGGCCAATAAGGAAAACTGTAAATGAAAAAAATAAAAAATAAAAAATTACCATTTGAGTTGTGCCTCTACCAAGTTGAGGTTAAAAACTGCTTGTACCCAAGGGCTGTGATAAAGCCCCCTCCAAACTCTCTGATATTAAAAAACAAACAAAATATAAGAATAAATAGCATGCACTAATTCAGTTTTTATTAAAACACTTAATTAAATTAAACCAGATAATTAAATTATCTGAGATGTGTTTGAACTTCCCTCTAGACCACTTCCATTTGCAGCTTTTGAAGAACTTCCCTTCTGGACTTTATTTGTATTTTTTGGACATGTTCTTTTGTTATGTCCAAGAGCCTTGCAAATCATACATCTTATAGTCATTGACTTTCTCACTTGACTAGTTCCTGTTGCAGGTTCATTTGCATCTCTTCTTCTATTTTTCTTTGGCCTGCCAGGCCTTCTTTAAGGTGGAGGAGGATAAAGTGGATCACCATGAGTAGGTGGTCATAGTTTTAAGTTAACTATGGGATGTATCATTCCCCCATGAGCTTCCAAATAAGCATCCTTACTCAATTTTTCATCACAAAACAACTCAATATTCATTCTCTTGTAAGCCATTGCAGCAGCTAAATGCTTGCAGGGGAGGCCAGAAATTTGCCATGCCCTACATACACAAGTCCTAGCACCAAGGTTTACCACAGTTGTACCAGTTTCATCCATTATTTCATATTCATCTGCTCCAGCAAATATTACACTATATTGTCTAGATTCCTCTATGAGTTGGTTCAACTTCTTCCTAATGTTAGGAGTCACCACTATTTGCCAACTGCATGCCACCTCATACCTCTTTTGAATCCTACCCATCAATTTTATCCTAATCCATTCTAACATATTCAGAAGTATACTATTTCTTTGTGCACCAACCCAATTGTTAAATGATTCATTTAAATTGTTTATGACATGATCATTTTTCACATTTTCATCAAACCCATGCCTAGACCATGATGATACAGGCAATTCCATCAAATTATTATTCCCTTCTTCTGTAAGATTCCTCAAATGTCTTATGGCAATATCAAAGTTAGCTTGGTTGTAAGCTCTTGCAGCCCCCCAAAAGTACTTCCTTAACAACAAACCAGGGTACTTCTTTTTAAAGTTATTAAATAAATGTCTGCAGCAATATCTATGATGGGCCTTAGGAAAGATATAAGAAATTACAGAATCCAGTCCCTATATAAAACAGTTAAAACAATGTCAACAATTAAATTTACCAAAGATAATAAAATAAAAATTAAATAACATTCAATATGAAAATACCTTTTGTTGATCAGACATGAAAGTCCATGGGCTGTCCTCAAAATCTTTGCCAATCATAATCTGTAGATGTGTTAGAAAAAAACCCCAACTTTCCACTAGGGCTGCAACTTGGGTTGGCCCAACCCAGCCCAGTCCCAACCCAACCTCAACCCGAAGCGGGTTGGGTTGGGCCAACCTGAATTGTACTCACCATGAGTTATGATCATAACCCGAACCGAATATTTTCGGACGGGTTGGGTTTGGTTGACGGGTTGAGGTTTTTTTTTTAATTTTTTTTTTTTTTAAATTTATATATATTATATTATATATTATATATATATATAATATTATTATATATATATATATATATATATATATATATTTGATTATATTATTATAAATAAAAAAACAAAATATTTTTAAGGCAAATCATTTCAGCCCCCCTATCGCCTCCAGCTTCATTCTCTCTCTCTCTCTCTCTCTCCAACTGCAAGTTACAAAATCTACAAGAATCAGAAGTTCAAAACCCACATATTTCAATTTTATCTATCTGTGTGCTAGAATCAAAAGTTCAAAACCCATATCGGCATATCATTTCAGATTATTCAAAAAATCAAAACATCAGCATATCATTTCAGATTGTTCAAAAAATCAAAACCCAGATCTTTCAGTTTCCATCGCCCGCTGTCCAGTTTGTTCAAGCTTCGCCAGATTGGTTCAAGCTTCGCCATATCATTTCAGATTTGTTCAAAAAATCAAAACCCAGATTGTTCAAGCTTCGCCCATGGACGGCGGCAGAGAAAGAAAGATAAAGAAAAAGAAGACAGGGAAAGAGAAAGAGAAAGAAAAAGAAGACAGAGAAAGAGAAAGAGAAAGAAAAAGAAGAAAGCGGAGAGAGAAAGGAGAGAGAAAAAAAAAAAAAAAAAGGCCCCCTTCTCAACTCTCAAGCTTCGCCCATGGACGGCGGCAGATAGAGAAAGAGAGAGGAGAGAGAAATGATGGGAAAAAAAAAATGGGTTTAGGGTTGGGTTCGGGTTGAGCCCAGCCCAACCCGATTTTGTCTAGGTTTTGACAAAACCCAACCCAAACATGAACCCGACTTGTGAATATAAGCCCCAATTTCAAAATTTCTGGGTTGGGCTGGGTTAACCCGCCCAAGTTGCAGCCCTACTTTCCACAACACCATAGGCCACTGGGAAAAGGCCATTGTTGCCATCTAGTACAGTGGCTGCAAGTAGAACATCACCATAGGGTCCTTTCAAATGGCAGCCATCTAGACCAATAAATAGTCTATATCATTTCTTCAAACCAGTGGCCAGTGCCTCAAAACAGATGAAAATTCTGCTAAAGACTGGGTTCGCATACAAATTTGCCCTAAACCTCTTAATTTTAGCCAAGCTTCCTGGATTTTTTTTTATCAATTTCATTTGCATAAGCTGGAAGTAATGTGTAAGCTTCAACATGATTACCCCCAATTTCCTCTAGTGCCTTCCTTTTTGCCCTATACAACTGCATTATACTAGGTTCAATTCCATATTGTGTTTTCACTGTAACTCCCAAAGATGCTATTTTAATCTCAGGATTCTCTTTTATCATATCTGCAAACTTCATAGCAACCCATGTTGATGTTGCTTCCCTAGAAGTGCTCTCATTCACGTAAGTATGGTCTTTGTTTATTTTTTTAATCTGATAGGTGATTTTATCAAAGAGATGTGATGCACGTATCATCCATGGGCAACTTGTAGCAGCACAATGACATCTTATTCTAGCTTTTTCATTTTTTTTTCTAACCATTTTAAAACACTCTTGAATTGCATAATCCCTCAACACTTCCCTAAATTTCTTAATATTGTCAAATAGGTGACCTTTCACTAGCTCAATCTTTTGTCCTGAAACTCTATGAAATTCTATCACAAACAAACATTGATGAAAGGATTTACCCTTAGCCTTATCTTTTTTATCAGTATCACCCAATATTTCAATACTTGATTCTGATCCACATTCATCCCTTAACCCATAATTTGACAAACCATCATCACTACTTATTTGAACTCCCCCCATAGTACCTTCATCTACTAGTCCACTATCACTAGAATACCCTTCATTTTCATCTTCCTATTCCTCATCTTCCGAACTGAAACCATAAATATAATCTCCATCATCCTCATCACCATCCCTTACCCTGCCACCCCTTTCACCACCATCCTTTTCACCACCACTTACATGAGCACCCCTTGGACAACCATCCCTTTCACCATCCCTCACAGCACCATTCCTCTCACATACCATGTTTAAATTTTCAACAGTTTCTAACTCAACATGAACGTGAACAAATTTTTTTATAAGGATTAGTATGCAAGTTAAACATTTGTAACATATCAGCATCACTTTGCACTACCATTTTCTCATGACTCCCAAACAAATCACAATGCATGATAATTGAGACTCCTAATTGTGCAGGTAAATTTTCTAAAGACACTTGTAAAACGTCATCCATCAAATCAATAAAACAGTACCTATCAGGGTCAACATTATAAATTCCTTTCATAGTGGACTTGTAGTGCACATTAATGTCATGCAATTCAGAATCTGCCATCTGTTTATACCACATAACAAAAAACATTAGGATACATATAACAAAATCACATGCATATTTCAAAATAACAGCACAATTTTTTTAGTCAATACATATTAATATGGAAAAATCAAAATACAAAAACATTAGGATAACTATAAAAAAAAAAATTAATAAAAAAAAAATATATCCAAGTGGAAATTCATTATATATATGGTAATCTCAAAAAAAAAAGATATAAAAATAATTTAGGGAAAATTCATTATATATATAGAATACAAAAAACATTTAGAAAAAAAAAAAATCTATATATATAATGAATTTTTACTAAATTATTTCAATATGGTAATCTCAACACACATCAATATAGAAAAAAAATTCTATATATATAATGAATTTTCACTAAATTATTTTAATATGGTAATTTTCACTAAAATTTTAGAAACCAAACATTGTGAACAAATATACTGTAAACAAAAAAAAAAACCAGATTATGAAACAACTACACTCGTTGCATAAAAAAAAAAATAATAATAATAATAATAAAAGGATGCACATAAAAAAACCTATTCAACAACTGATATTAGTGTTGATACGAAAAAAAATCTCTGACAATAATTACATACCAGATATAAGTGTCAATTATGTCTTGTCGAATAACCTATCCAACAATATCCAGATTCAAAAAAAAAAAAAAATTCATACTATAAACAACTATACTCGTTACATATTAATATGGCAAAATCAGAATACAAATTAGACAATATATATATATATATATATATCAGAAACGAAACACTATGAACAACTATAACAAAAACCCTAAAAATCACTGCGAAAATAGACATGCATAACAAAATAGCAATGAACAGGAACCTATTATATATCTATAAAGCAAAAACCCTAAGACCTCAACAAGAATAGCAAAACCCCTAATTTTTTTCAAAAAATTAGGCTTACCATCACCAGCGATGCCTGCTTCTGAAAATATTGTACCGATATTTGCTTGTTGAACGATTATGGTTATGTAACGGCTAGCAAAGAGAACAGAAGATCAAAGTCTTTAGAAATATAGGGTTTGAAAAGCAACGCATCAAACTCTTCACCTCTGTGCTTCTCCATCTCTCTCTTCTGTTTCTCTCTCGAACCGGCTGTATGAGATATGTAAAGGAAATAAAAGGGTTCAATGATATAAATAAAGGAAATGAATGGGTTGCCTGATATAATGAGTGAAATGAAAGGGTTGCAGATGATGGAATTTAGCCGTCAATTTTTTTCCCTCCAAAACCATTAGGGACAATCTAGTAATTTTAAAAAGAAAGATATTCTTCATGTGATATTAACAAAAAATTGAAGGGTGTTTTAGTCATTTAACACGGTCAATGGCCGGAATAAAATGCCGATCAGTTTGGAGAGTGGTCAGTGTAATTTTTGAAACGTAAAGGGTACCGCCTGTAATTACGCCTAACCTCAGGGGAAGTAAGTGAAATTATCCCAATATTTTTTAATAGCTCTCCATAAAATGAAAAACGGGATAATTTCATTTACCTCTCCTGATGTTAGGCGTAATTACAGACAGTACTCCTAACGTTTCAAATATTACGGTAACCTCCCTCCAATGTGACTGAGGTCAGTCCCGGTAGAAACCCATGTTAAATGACTAAACTACCCTTTATTATTAAATTAATTTTATTAATTGAAAAAACCTTTAACAAAGTACCCATTCTACCCCTAATTGAAAAAAATGGTGAGGAAAAGAAAACAAAGAAAGACAAAAAAAGTGAACCAGGGAACAAAATTTACATTTTTCCCAGACCTGATCCCATCCATATGAGCCTTAAATCGATCTAAGACCTGAACAACACCATTGTTGAACCCCATTAAAGTCTGCTTACTTATTTATCTGTACTCTGAAACCCCAACACTTCTTCCATTTTCGTCACAACGGACCACCTCTGCACCACCATAGCCACTGCTGATACCACACATCTCACCTCATACACTTCTATCACCATAAAACACATATATAGTTTTATACATATATGGTAAGTGTGTGTGTGTGTGTGTATATATATATATATATATATATATGTATATGTATATGCAATCTCAACAAAGGGAATTGGATTTAGACGAGATCTGTAAATGCAGAGATTACAGTGGTGCAAGTAACAACATTCCGATGAAGCATTTAATCAAACAACACATGTGCGTCATTCGAGAGTTAGACAAACATAAGATTCAATAACAGAACTAAAAAACCAAGCTTGCTGCAGTCCTCACCAACAAGTTATTGCCGCTACTGGTTCAACGACAGCGTTCTTGCTTATCGATGGTTGGTATCGCTGTTGAGATCATGCATCGCCGCCGCCGTTTCAGTTCGCTTCATCACCGGATTAAAGCGTCGCAGGTGTCTTGCGTCACCAGGCTCACTCTCTCTTTCTACATCCATTATGCTCACCGACCGCAAATCAGTCCTCCATCACTGCCGTCGTTTCTTTCCTCGCTGTTTGCTCACCGTCGAGACCTCACGCCGGTAAGCATCGGTAAGTCGTTTCGTCCTTTTTGTTTGCCGTTCAAATCTCACTGCCGTCACGTCACTGACGTCCTTGTTCACCATCGATTGAGCACATCTTTGCTCATCGCCGGTGAGTTATTCATAGCTCACTGACTTGGGTGATTATCCCATCAGCGACGGTCCAGACGTGGATCCAAGAGATTAAATAGATGTGATTGCAGCCCTCGACAAAGATCGTTGATCCGAAATTGGCGATAGAGAGGGGAGCAAATTCCAAGCAGTTTTTCGGCGAGGTAGTGCCAGTGATCAAGCACACCATATACTAGTAGGACGATGGACGATGGAACCACCATTCAAGGTCAGTGGTGAGAAGCTTGTGGACAATTTTGACGTCTTGAGCGTTTAAGGCTTCATTCAGGGCGAGCACCACCCTTCGATTATTGGAATCCTCCAGAATATCCTTGGAGTTATACATATCAGAGGCTTTGGAAAGAGAGTTTAGAAAGAAAGAGGACATCAGAGTTTAAAGAGAGAGTGTAATTTTTTTCCCCTTACTATTAGGGTAATACGTAATTTTCAATTAAAAATGAAGGAATAAATGTCTTTGCAATCTTTGTAAGGGTAAATGTGACATTTCACCTTTAAAAATGATGATATCAGCAAAAAAATGATCCTCGACCAGTGTTGACTGCTACCGGAAGGGACAAAGTGTTATGCCAGAATTAACCTTGAGGGAGATTACGGTAATATTTGAAATATTAAGGGTACTATCTGTAATTACGCCCAGAGGAGCTAAGCGAAATTATCCCAATGAAAAACCTTCAACCATATTTATAACCACAGTAACAGTAATACCCATTACAATCGTAAATACAGTAGCAAGTAATATCGGCCTTCAACCACCATAAGTACCATACGAAAAGTAGGCCTGACCTGAAGCCTAAAATACTAGAGACTGAACTAAAATTGGACCAGTGGGCCATCTTCAAGCCCATACCAACCTTGCAGCCACGCTCTTTCGTACTACTACTAGATCACTCCAGCAATGTACAGAAAATTGATTGGTTAACTCTACACGTGTCCAAATTTCAAAGCTAACACTGATTACCGTATCACCTGCAGGTGATGCCTACACTTCCCTCCACCAGCGATCCAAAACACCCACCCAAAAGCACCCCTCCCTCCAGATTCTCTTCTCTGCTTACATATAAACGCCCTTTCCATCTCTCTCTCTCTCTCTCTCTCTCTATATACATATACTTATATCTACACAGTACACACACATGGCGACTTCTCTTCTCCTCTCGAATCCTTTCTCTTCCCTCGCTCACCTTCCTCGTAAATCCAACACAGTTCTCTGTAAATCTACCTCTATTTTCACTCTTGCTATACCCACGAAAACCTCCAATTCACAATTTTTAAACAATACACAGTTGACTTCACAAACCCTGGGAAGGTACCGGAAAATTCTCGCCGGCGCTTCTGCAGGAGAAACTGATGGTAAAGTTTCAATATCGGGAACCGAAGAGGTTCTTGTTGGCGAGGATTCAGCGGAATTCGATTTGGCCAAGCAGAAGATTTCTTCTTGGGTTTATTTCACAGGAGTTTTAGGAATTGTACTGTTTATACTTGATGTGGCTTGGATTGACAACTCTTCTGGCTTCGGACACATATTTATTGATGCTGTTTCGAGCTTATCAGAAAGCCACGAGGTGAGTTTATGATTGTAATTGTGATATAAACTTGTGTATATATATATATATATTGTGTATGTATGTATAATTCTTCAATTGATGGAAAACAGTTCATGTGTGTGTTTGATTTTTATCCCATATCTGCTCTCTTTGTTGTTGGGTTAAAAGCTAAAGAAGAAAAAAGTTTGGAACTTTGGATTTTAGATTTTTTATTATCTGGGGCTATTTAAATTGGAAATTGTTTTTGTACAATTGTTTTTGTACAATTGACTCGAATAACATGGAAACCTCTATTTGTTATGCTAAAACTACTAGGTCGCTTGTTGGTGTCAGGATTAGAGCCTGTCATGAAACTTGGTCTACACCTGGTGCAGTTAGTTTAAACTCACATTACTGATTGTGCAATTTAAAGGTCTTTCTGTATAAGGAATTGCATATATTTAAATAATTTTTCAGATTGTAATATGAATCATATGGACGGGGACTAAAAATATTTGATGCCCTTTCGAGCTGACTTTATTCCACTTCTTGATAAAATTTCTAAAAAAATTGAGAAGGTTCTAGATTTGTATCTGATCCTCTTCCTTTAGATAATAAATCAAAGATGTAATATGGTTCTTTAGTTAAAGATGCACATGGCATTCCTTCTAATTTCAAGATTTTAAGAATATTTACAATGTAAGACTAGACTAAATGCTTCTGATTGTTCTTACAAGTGGGTGATTTCCTGGAAAATATATATCCAAAACTTGAAATAATAACTTACTTGAATATCAGATCATACTTGGTAACAGTTTTCCCTTCTGAACATTTTAAACACTTTAGTCCTAATTAAAATTAAACAAACGCTTCTATACAATCACTCCCTCCTGCTCTTCCATCCATACTAATTTTTCATACTCTCCAACTGCTTGTTGATAAAATTCAGGCTCTATTGTGACCAATGGTGAGGGATTAACCTCCTCAGTGTTCTCGTCTAAGTAAAGCTTGTCTTTTAAAGATCCCATTGGCTTCCTCCAACCATGGTATTACATTGTTTTATAAAAGTTGAAAAATAATGTTCAGAGACACCGGATTTGCCCATTAAAAGCTCCATTCAATGGAACAAGCTTTGAGACATCCATCTTATAATCAAAACCATCTCCTACTGACACCCGTAGTACATAGAGTCTTCTAATTGACACATATATGAATTGCTCAATTTGCTCCTGAGTGTTGTTTATTGAGTGTTACAGCATTTTTTTATTATTTTTTTGTTACTTCTTTCTGGAGTCCATTTTCATTAATTATATATACACTGCGTTTGGAAGCATGGAATTGGCGCCTTGGAAGTGGAATTGGAGGAAAATTGGTTTAAAGTTTAAACTAATTTTTCTCCAATCCCAATTACAAGGCACCAATTTCATGCTTCAAACATAGCTCTAAATCATTTGTAGTATTTTACATCTCTAGGGTTTTCTGGTTTGCAGTTCTGTACAGCCTGTAGTTCTATTGCATTAAATTCTGAATGTTGTACTGAGATATTTGATAGGAACTTCCGAAGTTTGTTTGTTTACATTAGAAATTCCATAATGGTTACTGAATTTAGAAATTACAAAATTCAGCAAGGTCAAAAAACAGTATTTTCAATAATGTGTTTAGCTGCTCGAACTTGAATTCAATCAGAATGTGGATTCCTTATTTCTCGGTTGAGGTTGTCTATAGATGCCACCCTTCTTTACTCTCAGCAGTTCTACCATATCTCGCTGCTCATAATTATTTTGGTTGACATTATCACTTTTTGTACAAATCTAGATACTAGAAACCTGGGTTAGGAGTGTATTTGTTCTTGTCATGACTCATAAGGAGTACAATGATACCAAGTGTCGTTAAATGGGGTACCTTTAAATTTCTCATTCCATATTCTTGGAAAACTTTATCATGATTATTTACCGGTATGCCCCGTGCATTCTGTTACCAATCCCTATAATACTTCAAATATCCCATACACTTCACATATGCAGTTGTATTACCATTTACATGCTTCAAACATTATTGAACTGTGACACTAAATATTGTAATGTTTGAGGGACTGGGAATGAACTTCATACTTTGGCTCTTTTTACTGTAAGGAGCCATCTGCTATTTTATCCTTCTCGTGTAAGTTCACATTACCGAGAGCTGAGCCTTCAAACATTCTTCTGCAGGTAGTAATGTTGATCCTTACTCTAGTTTTTGCCATTGTCCACAGTGGCCTGGCTAGTCTCAGAGATGGAGGTGAGAAACTCATAGGAGAACGTGCCTTCCGAGTTTTGTTTGCAGGGACATCTCTTCCATTGGCTGTCAGTACTGTTGTGAGTTCCCAACCCTCTTTTATGGACCATGTGGTCCTGTAAGTTTGATTATTACTGCTTTCCCTGCCACACCTTCCTGAATTCGTGCCTTAAAACAACTGATAGAACCTTGTTTAAATAAACTTGATTGACCTTTTAAAGGGTTGTGATTCAGGTGTACTTCATTAACCACAGATATGATGGGATGCAGTTATGGCAGCTCCAGAGTGTTCCTGGGATACATCAACTAGTGTGGTTCTCTAATTTTATTTCCTTCTTTTTCCTTTACCCTTCAACCTTTAATTTATTAGAGGTAGCAGCTGTCGACAAACCTAAAATGCATCTTTGGGAAACCGGAATTATGAGAATTACCAGGCACCCGCAGGTATCCATCATCTCAATTTTGAATTTCCTTGCACATTACATGTTAATTATATTCTGAGCATTTTGGAGGAAACTTGCACGAACAATACCTCGTTGTTCTTAAATAATCTTGATGGATTAGGTCATTAGGATCAAAGCTTCCCATGTAATTGTGAAGGTTTTTCTTTCTTTTTCTTCTTCTTTTTTCATTTGTGGAGGAAATTGCCATGTAAAAACTGGTTAGTCATATGTTATTTTCTCACCCAATCTCCCCAACCCACATGACTTGAGTTTTTCTCTCTCTGCAATTAGTATTGCCGATCAGGGTTTTGTAAGTTTCTTTTGTAGATGGCCGGACAGGTGATATGGTGCCTAGCTCACACACTCTGGATCGGCAACTCTGTAGCAGTGGCAGCATCCATTGGCCTAATTGGACACCATCTATTTGGTGTCTGGAATGGAGATAGGAGGTTGGCCATACGATATGGTGAAGCTTTTGAGGCTGTGAAGAGCCGAACAAGTGTCATTCCATTTGCAGCTATCCTTGATGGTCGTCAGGAGTTGCCCAGAGATTACTATAAGGAATTTATTCGATTGCCATATGTATCAATCACTGCTTTGACTCTAGGCGCATACTTTGCTCACCCACTTATGCAGGCTGCCAGTTTTCGGCTTCATTGGTAAAAAAGTCCCCCTCTCTTATCAAAATGAAGTACACTAGTTCCTATTGTCTAGGTATAGTGATATGTATCAAGGTTTTATACACTATGTTCTGTAGCAAAATGTACATCTTGGTCAAAATCACACTTTAGTAGCAAACACAGATGATAGAAATGTTGTTGTCCATTGTTTTTATATTCAGACATAGAGCTTGGTGAAAGGCTTTTTCTTTGAATGAGCAGCAAACTAATCGTCAGATACAAGCATATCAATTAGTTTAATTGTGGAAAAGTCTAAGCAGCATGTTACTTGTGAAAATCAGGTTTTATTGTTAAAATAATTCCTTAGGTTTATTATCCGAAAAACAAGATTTGGATTAATTTCATGCCTTTGTCTCGTTATAACGTTTTAACTCCAGTGCTGGTGGGGGGTCATGATTGATTTATAGTTGTTGTATAACCCTGATTAAACTAGACGTTATTTCTCACTTCTCAGTTAGAATGATTTAGGTACTATAAATCCTTATATTCACTTATAAGAGCCTAGAAAGATGTTAATATCATGTAAGTAATATGGTAGCGTCATAATGTTTTGTTCTTTTACTATTTGACAGGGATGGATCTAGGAATTCATATGAGGGGCAAATTTATACTGAGAGATTTTTTCATAATTTCGGTGGAGGCAATTTTAAAATTTTATGGATTTAAATATAAAAAAGTATAAACTTAGGGGTATAAAATGCAATAATATCCGTCCCTGCTATTTGACATTATTTTTCAGGAGTACCGGAAATGGGAAACAATTTCCAAAACAGAAAAAGATTACTCTTTAAAAGAAAATATTTTAAAATTTGTTTTAACATGTGTTACAAGAGGATAACTAAAGTCTTAGAAGAGGTTGTGGGACTCTGAATTCTATTCATTGTCTGCAATTTACAGTAGTGTTCAAATCCGAGTCTTAGCTGAGACTTCAATAATTCGCAAGAGTTGATACAAGCTGAAGCTAAAAACTTGTGCTGAGATGTACCTTGCACCAGATGTGGAGCTACTTGTATGAAAGTACCGCAACAATTCATTTTTGTGTAAATTTTACTTACCTTTCTCGATTTTTGTCAATATTTTACACAGACTCTCTCTATATTTTATAATTTCACTTACTTCCCATGAATTGTTGGTTTGCGTAGATTCCCCTTGCCTGACCATTTTGCCATTCCAATGTCTGAAATAACAGCAAACATTTTATGGGTGAAACGGTAAAAGAGTCGCTAACACGGGAGATAAGTGGAATTATAAAATGTAAAGGTGTTTATGTAGGATATTAACATATCCTAAACTTTTTATGAGGTATCATATTGGAGTTGGAAAAGAGTCACTTTATGGTTAGGTTCGCCCAATTAAGCAGGAGGTATACTAACAACTGCACTTCATAAAACAAAATGTAGAACGCAAAAGGAGTCTCATACCCGATTCAAACAACAGCATATGCTACTGAACTAGCCTCAGATTTCACCGAATCAACTGTTTAAAATACGAAATTTCAGGAAGTGTTTATGTGAGAGAGAGTAAGAGTTTGTGTATTCGGTGATTCGATCAGCTCGAGACCCGAGAGGCGAATGAATATAACGAGCGGAGGCGTAAGCATTCTTGTGAAATTAAAAATTCCAGTGACTAGTAATTTTCTGAAAAACATGTTACAAAAAATAGTACTCGGTTTCTAGAAAATATGAAATCCACATCTCACTTTTCTATACATGTACTTCGCCTATTAAAAATAAATAACACAATTATTTCTCAAAATTACTGTACACCATAACCCATATCTAATTATTTATTGCCTTTTGGGAAATAAAAAGGGAATAAAAATATCTAATTTCATAAGGCAATAGAATTTTTTCACTCATATATATATATATATATTTATAACAAGTTCTTAGAAAGGAATTTATGGGCACTTATTAATTTTGTTGTAATCATAATAGAAATTAAAGTTGCTTTATAGAGAAGATGGTGCTACTGAATGTATTTGTATGGAATGAGATCCATTTTTTCATGGTTGCTCATCTTAAGAGAAGTATTATTCGTCCAAAGATGGATATTTCTCGCATTTAAAGCCATTTTCTCTTCAATTTGGTTCTGCAACCATCCCCTTTAGCAAGCACTGCAGGTTGAGCTCAAACCCCATCACAAAAACAACTGTGATCAGGAATACGTGTTGGATTAACCATTGCTGCAATGCAACAAACAAAATAATAATTAGCTTCCAATCTCCCAAGTCAAATACAAAGGAATTTCCTTAAAAAAGAAGTGCTTTGCAGGTGTCCATACCATAACCAGGAAACAGGGAAACCGTGATGAGCGATCCGCTCATGTTTACTTTATGAGCTCAAGCAGTTGTAGTGACCTAAACAAAAGATGTTATCGAAGGTTAACATATATGCATCTAGATAAACAGCTGAAAACTTTTAGCAAACAGGTTTTATCAGCAGAATTATCAGAAAAGAAAAAAAGAAAGAACTGCCCGGTTACTCATCGAGCCATGAAACCGATCCTACAAAGAACATATAGCATGTAAATAACAATATTAATTGAAGAGCACTTACAATATAAATAATACTGGATGAAGCTGAATACTGGATGAAGCTGTCCTTTCCATTTCCGATGCGTGAGATTCATGCATGGTCATTGGACTGTTTGGACACAACACATCGGTCCACCAAAGAGATATCATCCACATTTCATGAGTGAATACAGGTATCTGTTACACCATGTTGACAGCTAAGGAGTACCCATCTGCTAGACCATTGGTCTTCAGGCAGAATCATTCAAACTCCAGTGTCATATCTACTATCAATGATACTATTATCCAGAAAGTCCATTGCCCCCATATAATCTATCTTGCTAAACAAAGATCGGACCAAAACATTCCACATGCCAACGTTGGGGGTGATTCCTTCATTTGACATCTTGTTAAGATAAATAGTGGCTTCTTCAACACCAATCCACTCACAAATCCCAAATATCAGACTAGTATAAGTAACCGAGTCTGGAGGTGAGCCCACTGTGCTCATGTCATCCAGTAATTGAATGGCAGATTCAACCTTACCAAGCTTACAATGGGCATTAATTAACATGTTAAATGTTATAGTATCAGGAAGAAAGCCCCTGACCAACATTTTTCCCACAAGCTTCATGGCCTCCTCAGGCATTCCGGCACAAAGAAAGCCATAAATGATTGTATTATAAGTCACTAAAGTAAACTCAACTCCCCTTTCTTCCATCTCCTTAACAAGCCCAAACGCTTCTCCAAAGTTGTTCTCTTTGAAGAGACAATCCAATAGCTCATTATATGTTATTGTGTTAGGTGAGCACCCATACTTTTCCATTTGATCAAATATTTTTATTGCCCAATCTACTCTTCCACTGTGACATAAACCTTTGATAAATGTATTGAATGTAATTGTATTCGGTGTACAATTTTCGATCAGCATATTTTCTATAAGACATTGGGCTTGGTTAAACATTAAGTTCCTACAAAGGACATCCATCATGCAGGTATATGCCACAATGTTAGGATGACAACCATGGGTTATCATCCTGTTCCATGTATCAGTTGCACCAACCAAGTCTCCAGCTTTTGCGAAGCCATCAATTAATGTACCATATGTCGTCACATTCAGAGGGCAGCCAATTCTTTCCATTTGAATAGAAACAGATACAGCACTGCCCATATTCCCAATTGAGCATAGACCACGTATCAATGTATTATATGCAACAACATTGGGCAAAATTCCATCTCTAATCATTCGGTCCCACAAGTCAAGAGCTTCATATAATCTTCCTTTTGAGAAAAAACCCTTTATCAAGGAAGCAAAGGTGTGAATGTTTGGACTACAACCTCTCACAAGCATTTGCGCCAAAACAGCAAGAGATGGCTCAACACTCCCCACATCAGCAAGACCATTGATGATTGTCGTGTATGTGATGACATTAGGTTCAAGTCCCATCTCCACCATCTCTTTTAACAGCTGAAACGCCTCATCAAGTTTGTGTCCTCTACACACCCCATTTATCAAAGCATTATAAACAGGCACAACGGGGGTGAACCTTATGGCAAGCTCTTTAGCTTCTTTGACCTTACCTAGCTTACACAAAGTTGACACTACTGTAGTATAGCTCACAACATCAGGACAGCATCCCTTGTTCGACATTTCTACAAGCAACTTGTGAGCCCCATCCACCCTATTATTCTTACACAATGCCTTCAACAGGATATTATAAGTATACACGTTCGGCTCAATCCCATCTTTTTTCATGTTACTATAAATAGGATTTATCATATGAAACCTATTCTCATTAAGCAACCCATCCAAGAGATGATTGTAAGTCTTAACTGTGGGTTTACACCCAAAATCTTGCATCCGATAAAACGCTTTCAGTGCTTGCTCGGCAGCCCCAGCTCGCCCATAAGAATTAATAATGATAATGAACAAGTCCTCGGAGCAACTAATGCCTTCCAGCTTCATTTGCTGCAGAAGGTACTGAACACCATCCATCTCACATTCTTGCCCAAGTTTTTTTATCATCAATTGATAGGTGAGATGGGTGTGTTTGAATTTTTTTGAATTCGCTATGGATTTGAAATATTCTAATGCCAAATTGATGTCCTTTTCGTGCTTCAACCTCTTTAGAACTTGGAACTCTTCAAGATGGGTTAAATTTGGTTCATTTTGTGGACTGGAATTTAGAATTGGGATTGTATTGAGGACAAAAGGTATAGAAGGTTTGTGAACTTTTAACAACAATGAACATCCCTCTTTCAAATACATCGTTCGTCGAAGCAAAAACCCAAATTTAAATTACTTAAATGGACTGCGCATTTACAACTAAAACCCTAAACCCATTGAATTCTAGAAATTCACAACAATTATAGCTGATAGATGAACAAAACAAGCAAATTTTGGATTCAAACTGGTATTGTTCCGATCCAAAGAAAAAATATGAATCGTTAAACAAGCCAGTGTTCAGATTCGAGAAATGATCTTAAAATTTAAAACTTTTTTATAAAACTGAACAAATTGAAAGCTATTGTCCGGAACGTACCTTAAGGTGAAGATGAAATTAAGCTCTCTGTGGTGATCTTATTGTCCAATTTGTCCGTACAACTTTCTCAAAATCTCACTATATAGCAGCTAAGCGTTATTGTTGTATGCGAAGAAAAAGGGTTTTGACTATCCTTTGTGACGATCCTTTCCCTGCAGCCACATGTCGCCCCAACTGGAGTGTCTCAGTTGGGCCTCAAAACCCAATTCCTAACGTTGGCTAGACACTTTGCTCAGGCCTTAAAACCCAAAACGCTCTCGCATGGACCGAAGTGGGGAAATGGACTAAAAGCTTTAGGTGGGGCCTTAAAATCCAATTCCCTGTTATTCTCAACTACAGTTAGATGGTTAATAATTAATTGCGTGTAATTAGCTGCGACCATATGATATCCGAATCGGACCTACACATGCATATGCATGAATGTCATACTTCTCAATGATCCATGGACCATCTGAATATTGAGAAATTATTAGATGATCTATTTAACATTTGGTGGACTAATTTAATGAAGACTCTCCCATTATGAAATTTTGTAATTTATTAATACACTTTTGTAGGGTTATTTTCTCAATTCGAGAATCTATATTTAATTGGTCCATCAAGTGTTAATGATCCAGAACCATCTAATAATTCCTCCTAAATATTAGTTCCGAACTTTGCAACATAACATATTAGAGAAAAAATGAGCCTAGAAAAACTGGATTACTATTTTTACCCAAAAATAAATAAATAAATTAGTAACATGTGGGATCCAAAGATTGTGAATACTGTAATACCCCGATAATTTTAAAAGATTTATTAATTAGGATTAATTATTTTATTTTATTTTTCAATCATTTATTTTATTTTATTTTATTGAGTGCTAGATTAATTATCTTATTTTAATTAATTTATATTTCGTGATTATGTATGAGATTGATTGTTTGTGTGGTTGATTATTGATTGAATTATTGGTGTGTTGATTTTATTGGTATTATATGATTTAGTTGTAAATTCTTGTTTGTTTATGTGCTTCATGTAATTAGTTATTTTAATTTCTGTATTTAATTAATTATCTTATTTATTTAAATTAATTGGATTGGGCTTAAGGAAAGTTGGACCAAAAGATGTGGTCTTGGGCTTGTATGAAACCTTATTGGGTTAATTAATGAAGGTCCGTGGTTATTTAATTATTTAAATGATCACTTTTGTATCAATTATATATATATATATATATATATATATATATATAATTATATATATATATAATTAATTAATAATTGTTATGGAAAGATATATATATAGATATATATTTATTGATATTTATAAGTATATATGATTTAATTAACTAATGAGTTAATTATGGAAGGAATATATATTTATATATATATATATATATATATATGTTTATAGATATAAATTATTTAAAGATTATTATTTTAATTCATAATACTAGTTGGAATAGGATTTGGAATTTAAGGTGTATAAAAATACACATAAGGCTTTAGGGTTAAAGGTTTTACACGTTAGAAAAATAAAACAGACAGAGAGAGAGGAAGAAGAAGGGCTGACAAGGAGGAGGTCGGATCTGAAAAGGAGAACGTCGGAATTGGAAGAGATAATTAAAGCTTAAAGCGTCGGTTTAGTTTCGAAACCTTCAGGCGAGTTTTCTCTAACTTTCCTCTTAGAACTCATAAGGATTTCACCTTGAGTATCAAGGCTTTAATTAAATTTATTTGTTTAAAAATTATGGTTAGATCGGAATAATTAAAAAGTATAAACTATTATATTTGATTTTTAGATTATTGGATTTTAATTGATATATATAGGTGTTATGTATATTTTAAAATCAATCTATCGGTGGATTTGTGACCCAAGAAAGTTAATTATGGTTTCTTTATTTTCTAGAATTGTTCTGTAATTTTCTGGAATTTTTCTGATATTTTTAGGAATTTATTAGGATTTATTTTTCTATTATTTGTTAGGAAAATAATTATATATATATATATATATATATATATACATATATATACTAGGTAACTGGCGCATGTGGAGCGGCGGCACAATAAAGAATTGATCCAGTGCGGCGCGGTGTAGGATAATAGGGTGTATACACCAATTAGGACCATTTGATTAATTAAACTTATGTGAATTGATATGGTGCATCGCGGCGCATAAAACTTTGGTGCGCATGTGTATCTGGACCATAAAAGTGGTCTGGTCAACTATGGGATTATTTGGTGTATTGCAGACCATGAGAAGATGGTGCACTCGCTGATCTGGACCTTAGATCTATTATAGTTAATAGAAAATAATCTAGTGTGAGCGTGTTCATTTGCGCACTCATTTATGACCATTGGATGCGGCATAAAGGAAGTGATGGATTCAGTGTGGTGAGCTCACGGTAGCTGAAAGAGCTTAGCCAATACCAGCACACAAGGAGGCTTGAATCCAGCGCGTGCAAGTGCATAGTAAGCACGTGGGTGCGCGTGGGAAACTATGTTGGCCTAATTCGACACTAGAAATTAAAACTGTCATAACTTAGTCATTTTAAATCGAAATTGGGTCATTCTTGAGCTCAAATTCAAGGATTTTTCGTCTTCTTTCCAATGGTACCAATTTCATTATCAGATTCCCATCCTACTAGGAGATATTTATGTTTTAGTGAGAAAGTGTCGGAAAACTATTTAAACCAATATGGAGTATTTAAAGGAAACTATTTCTGACATATTTAGTTGCACTAATTTGTGTAAATATAATAAATTAATAATTTGTTATGGAAGGAAGTGTGTGTATATATATATATATATATATATAATTATTTATATATGGGTATATATAGTTTAATTTGTCTATGAGTTGTATGGAAAGATGAATATATATATATATATATATATATATATATATATATATGTATGTATGTATGTATATTGATTTTAAATAATCAAGGATTATTAAAGAAGGTGTTAAACACATATATACATTAAATAACATATGTGTAGGTATATATATATATATAAATCATTTAAGATGATTAATATTATCATTCTTATTTGGCATATCTTAATAGGCTGGTTGTTAAATTAATGATATGCGTATAATATGCATGTGATGGATATGTATGATTTAGCGTATTGTTAATTTTAAAGTTAATTTATGGTTAAAGTGTGGGCATGGATGAATTGTCAAATGATTAAATATATTACCTAAATATTTGTATGAATAGAATACATATATGGAAAGCATGGATGAATTGCTAATTAAATGTATGAATAAATATACCTGTGGAGGCATGGTTGAATTGCCAATGTATAAATATACATACACGGAGGCATGGTTGAATTGCCAATGTATAAATAAATATACTTATGGAGGCATGGTTGAATTGCCAATATATAAATAAAAATATTTACAATGGCATAGTTGATTTGCCAAAGCATAATTACGTTGTTATGTGTTAGATGATTAAAATATCATCTATGGTTGTTGTATGTATGGATTGGATTAGGGTTAGATATTCTTAAATGAGAATAGTTTAGTACTTACTGGTTAGTGTATTATTTTACATTAATAAAATAATATTGGGGAAGACGTGGATGATTTGTCAAAACTTGGATTTTGGATATGTGATTTAAACAATTTAAATCATTATCGGGTTGGGATTAAATAGAGTATTTCTTTTATTATAATTTGTTGTTTAAATGATTAGACAACTGACTAGGATGGGATTAAGGTCAAATGAGTTTTTATAAAATGAAATGGTAGATTGGTCTAGGTATGAATATTATTTTAATAATTATTTAATAGGTATGGAAATTTAATAAACCTATTAATGGATGTGATTAGTATAGTATATATAATTATATATAGACATATATATCGTGCTTTATTAAAGTTAAAACTTTATTAGGTTTGGTTTTGATCAGAGATGATCCGCTTATTGGTTTTCAGAGGCCTGGTAGAGTGAACTTGCTCGTAGGGTTTAACCCACGATTTATTTTTCAGGTTATTAGAGGTTCCAGCCTCGAGGTTGAGGATCCGCAGCTGGGAGACTGTCATTCGTCTATTCATCTTGTGTACTTTTAAATAGTATTGGATTATTGGATAATGTTTTAAGGGGTCCTTGAGTTATGGGATTTCCGAATTGTAATTGTTGGAGAATCATTAAGTAATATTTATTTATTAGTTTTCTTCAGCGGTTTATTTATTCTTTATTATTCATCTTTGTATTCTGTGCTCGTTAAATACTTAAATTGTTTTGATATCCCTTGATTTTGTGCGCGGACTTGATCAATCCGTGTTCCAAAATTAGGGGGTATCACAAATACATACACCACTTCCTTCATCTCTAATTTTATAATAAAATACAATACACCCGGGTTTAACATAATGGGTGTTACAATACATGATTTTATTATTTTACACTTTTAAACATATAAAACTAATTTTGCACATTGAGATGGAAAAAGAAAAATACATCAAATATTTTAAGTAACCAATAATACAAATGTGTACAATAATGAATAAAGAATAACTATCATAGAAAATAAAATAACAAGAAACATATAATGAAAATAGGGTACAAATTAGGGTGGAGAGATGATAAGTACATAAAACCTATTATTTCATGCACCAAAATAAGTTTTTAATTAGACTTTTATATTATTTAAATATTCTTATATACTTGTTTTGTGTTTTGTAGATGTTAATGCATGAATGGGAAGAATGCAAGCAAAAATGGAGAACGCAACATAGAAGATTATATGTTTTACTAAGCAAAAGAAAACACAAGGAACATTGTAGCAGAGATGGAATTGTGTTCAAAAATCTTTCATGAGTTCCTAAGTTTGAATCCTTCCAAAGATAAGAAACATTGTCTTTTTGATCCTCCATCTAGTCAGCATGCCACATCATCATTTGCAATATATATATATATATATATATATATATATTATATTTTGAAAGAATAAAGAAAGAAACCACGAAAAGAAAAGAAAAATCAACAAAGGTGGTTGAAATAGAAGTGGTCAAAAGTGGTTGATATAGAAGATGTTAGAGTATGGTGCAGAGAGGTAGTGTGAAGGAAGAAGAAAGTCAGATCAGAAAACAACAATTGTGGATACACAATTTTGGTTATAAATAGCCGACTCTGGAGCATTCAAAAGTGTGTACAATTAGAGATAGAGTGAGAAAGTTATAAATAGTTGT